AAACTTAATAATTATTTTATTATAAGAGTTAAAATCTTCAATTTTATTTTATTTTATTAATAATTTTCAAAATATTTATGATAGATTGATGCTAGGTCCCGCCCTCTTGTTCTCTTTACCTGTGTGGAAATCGTGGAGCCACCGCAAGACCAAATCAAGTACACCTCAGCGAATCATGATTCCTTTCTTGGATTTCTTACTTCACTTCTTACTTGTTAAGCCATTATATTCACTTTTAAGCCTAATTTGTGTAATCTGAATCGTTTTACATTTTAAAATTTATTGAGGATATCATATTTATAAAAAATTAAGTTGATCGGATAAGTATGTGTTCGAAAAACTGTTTATTATTTTTTAAAAAAAATAGTTTTTAGTTCGATGATCTGAACACATACTTTTTGATATTCGATCAACTTGATTTTTTACAGGTATAATATACTCAACAAATCTTCAAATGTGACGGTTCGAATTATCAAAATTAGCCTAAAAGTCGGCCCAATAACCCAACAAGTAGGAAGTCAAGTAGGAAACTCAATGAAAGGATCTTGATTCCACCTCAGCACCCATCCAAAATTACCATTCTTCCTGTCTCAAAATATTAGTCGCTTATTTTATTTTTTATTATCTCAAAATATTAACCTCTTTTTAAAAAAAATTAATTACCTAAAAATTCTATTTACAAACATTATGGTAACTTAGGTCCTATCCAAAATTTTTGGAACCAATAAATCATATTTAGTAAAACTGAAAATATTATTAGTTTTTTTCTAATTTTTAAAATTAAGAACATTATCAATTTTATATAGCAATGTTTTAGATAATTGTTTCACTAACTGATGAAAAAAAAGACCATATGAGATTAAACAGTTTTGTCTTTCTATTTATTAGTTTAATTCAATTATCTAATAAAATTGAGGAAATTATCAATTTTTTTTCAGTTTAAAATTGAGAACATTATCTTTTTTCTTTTTTTCTTTTTTTTCAGTTTTGCATAGCAATGTTCCATCGTCATGTTCCTTTATAGTCCAAAATTTTCAATTTTGCACAAAAAAATAATTCAATTTTTTCAAACCTTTACTTGGTTCCATTTTTCCAAAAATACTTTTCAGAAAATTCTACTTTCTTATTTTCCGTGTTTTTTTTGCTTTTATTGAATTTTTTTAATATTTTAAGCAAATTTTTTTTTTACTTTTTAAACATACCTAACATAAATATACTTAAAAAGTAAAAAAAATTGTGAAAAAACCTTTTAAAAATTCACTAAATACCAAAAATACAAGAAAAAAATACGAGAATTCAGTACATTTTTTGTATTTTTATGTATTTATTATTTTTTTAAATATTTTTTTACAATTTTTTTTACTTTTTAGATACATTTAAGTAAGATGCATCTAAAAAAAATAAAAATTTTTAAAATTTTTAAAATATTCACTAAAAATAAAAAATAAAAACACGAAACCAAAAAATTCAGTTTCCAAAAAACTTAAACTAAACACACTGATTAGTTTTTTTCAATTTGAAAGTTGATATTTTAAAGTTTTGAAAATCAAAATAAATGTCAAATCATCATAATCATAAATAATTAACAATCATTGTTTGAAGGGCAATTCTGACTATTAAAAATTTAATGAGACTTTAAAATCTAAAAAATCTTAATTAGGACTTAATAGAATATAAGTTCATAAATTAGAACTTAGTGTAAATGCCTTTTTTAAAAATTAAGAACTAAAATAATATGAATTTCCTATTTTGTGAATTTTTTTAATATTTTAAGCAAATTTTTTTTTTACTTTTTAAACATACCTAACATAAATATACTTAAAAAGTAAAAAAAATTGTGAAAAAACCTTTTAAAAATTCACTAAATACCAAAAATACAAGAAAAAAATACGAGAATTCAGTACATTTTTTGTATTTTTATGTATTTATTATTTTTTTAAATATTTTTTTACAATTTTTTTACTTTTTAGATACATTTAAGTAAGATGCATCTAAAAAAAAATAAAAATTTTAAAATATTCACTAAAAATAAAAAATAAAAACGCGAAACCAAAAAATTCAGTTTCCAAAAAACTTAAACTAAACACACTGATTAGTTTTTTTCAATTTGAAAGTTGATATTTTAAAGTTTTGAAAATCAAAATAAATGTCAAATCATCATAATCATAAATAATTAACAATCATTGTTTGAAGGGCAATTCTGACTATTAAAAATTTAATGAGACTTTAAAATCTAAAAAATCTTAATTAGGACTTAATAGAATATAAGTTCATAAATTAGAACTTAGTGTAAATGCCTTTTTTAAAAATTAAGAACTAAAATAATATGAATTTCCTATTCTGTCTTTCTTTTAAATTCATTAATAATATAAAAAATATAATTATGGCAATTGATATTTTGAAAAAAATATATTATTAAAGGGTAATTTTAAAAATAATATTTTTAAAGTGCAATAATTATATTATGAAAAAAAATTAAATTTCTTAAAAAGAATTATTATTTTAGGATAGAAGAAATGGGATATTTTGTTTTTTTTGGCAACACGTAATGAACAATAATTTAAATGATTAAAAAAAAAAAAGCACTAAATTGGATAAGAAAGAATAATATGTTGCCACCCTCCACCAACCCATATGACCTAACTTATTAATAATCACACCCCATCCGCCTTACCTGTGCCCTCACTTTTGTGCGGGCCACTTCTTTGGCTTATATCACACAAAAGAATAATATTAATTAACTTGATTAATATGAAAGTATTACCGGCCGGCATGTTGTTCCAATCAAATGGTTTGATTTGATGTAATGCTATCCAATGGATGCCTTAAAATAGGGAAATTATTTGATGTTTGAATGTCTTAAAATAGAGAAGTTATTTGATGTGTTTTTTTGGAAGTGTTAGTGATCGATGAAAGTGATGAAATTCATAAATTTTATATTAAGATATAAAAAAATGATATAGAAATTTGTTCATTACAAACATATAAAACTCTAAAATTTGTAATATTTTTTTTTAATAAACGGTGTAATTTCAAAAGTTTTGACTTGGAGCATGGCCAAAGGAAAGCATCCTTGCTACTTTAATGGTCTAATTGGATCTAAAATTTGTTGAAATAAAACAAATAGAGAGGGAAATTGGTAAACAAAAGTAGGGAATATGGCTTCTCCTTTTCATTTTTGTAGTTTAATTTATGTTGTTCGAAATTTAAATCCAAATGGTTAAGCATATATACTTTGAAAATGTAAGAGATTTGATTCCGCTTTTGAGATTTTCAAACTTATTTGTTTTTCTACCTATAAAAAGTTCAATATAAGCTAAAAAAAGTGACATTGTGTTGAATAATAATAATAATAACTTTTTAAAGCATTGTTTTAGATTTGCAGCTAATTTTCAACTGAAAAAAAGTAACTTTTCAATTTAATTTTAGCTTGTTTTTAAAGCTAAAATCAAATTTTAAGCTGGAAAAAAGCCCTTAAAAAAAACATTTAAGTCATTCCATCTCTATCAAGACTATACTTACAATTCTAAAATTTTTTATATTTGAAAAAAAGAGAAACAGATGTAATAGAAAGAAAATTTGTTGGACTTATTTAGCATTATTAGTTTTAAATTACTATTAAAGAATTATATAAGATTGCAAAAAAATTAATAATTATGCAATGTAAAAAAAATCTAAAAATTATTTTGATTAGTAAAAAATTATCCAAATAAACCTCACTTCCATTGTACTAGTGGGTTGCAAATAAATCGGGCAGTAGGGTTGCAAATAAATCATGTCAAGAGTCGAGCTAAGCTAAGCTAAGCTAAGCTAAGTTTTAGAGTGTTCAGCTAAGATAAGCTAAGTATCATGTACTTATTCAAATTAGAACATTTTTAATGGTTTGTTATTGGAGCTACTATTGCTATAATTTGATAGCTTGAGATGAAAAGTGGTGCTCAAATAGTGTCACAATGTAGCTGCCATATGTACCAACTTAGACAAAACCTCATTCTCTCTCTCTTCTCCCAGTAAAATAGATAAATTTTTGCAAAATCGTCATTTTTGCAAAATCAAACACAAAAACTAGTGTGTTTGAGACGACCGACCGGTACCAAAATAGCATTTGACCATTGGAACACAATTGTTATAATTCTATCATTTTATATTATTCATTGCCAAATTATAGCAACGACAATACTATTATAACATTTGTCATTAGAGATTGATCTTAGTTAGTATAAGTCATGAGAAATTGCAAATTAGTGGACTCTTTTCCAACTAATTGCAAATTCTTGTAAAAGCTTATGACTCTAATTATTAAAGTTGATAAAAGATTACACTAAATTGCAATTTGCCCTATAAAGTACACTCATCAAATTTTGAGAGAAGTCTTTATAATTATGAATAAATTACATTTTGCCCCTTTTATATTTGACTATTTTTTCACTTTGGTTCTTAAAATTTGTTTCTTCTTATTTTGGTTTATCATATTTCAAATTTTTCTCAATTTACTCCTAAGGTTAACTTATGTAAAAAATTAAACAAAACATGACACATTAAAAATCACGAGACTTAAAAATATTTTATCATATATAACTCATATCTCTGATATAAATTCAAATTTTAATATAATAATATTTTTTTATGTCATGTGATAGTTAATATGACATTTTTCTGTCTAATTATGAACAAAAATTAACCTTACGAGTAAATTGAGAAAGCTTGAATTATGAATGATCAAAGCAAGAAAAAATAAATTTTAAGAGTCAAAAGTAAAAAAATGATCAAATATAAAAGAGGATAAACCATAATTTAGCATGATAATTATATCAGAAAGTAGATTAAATATATTTTCTTTGTATTTATTACTAGTCAAAAAAAAATAAATAAATAAAAGAGTAGAGTAGTTGATTTGGGACCATCCATCCACCAACAGACCTGATCAAAACACCTCAACAACAAAATGCTAAGTCGCGGTGTAGAGGATCGCGGCCCGTCATATATAAACACCATGACCGAAGGAGAATAGCTGGGTTTGTCATTCAATTTGAGAGTCACATCACATCTCGTAGAGAGGCAGAGGGCTTTCTAGAGAGAGAAAGTGAGAGGAGAGAGAGGAAGAAAGAGCGCGGAGCTCTGGAGTCGACCTTTGCCCGTCCGTGGCGACTTTAGGTTATGCCGTTTTCACCACAGGTATATATATACATATATGTATGTGTATATGTATTGAATTTGAATCAGATCTAAAGAAATTGATTTTGGTTTAGGGTTTTTTTTGTTGTTGTTGTTGAATTGAATTGATGAGATCTAGGGATCGGGGCTTATCGGTTTAGGGCTTTTTGGTGTTGTTTTCGCTTAATTTGGTGATTTAGGTGATATTCTAGGGTTTTCGCATGTGATTATGAGACTAGGGTTTGATTTAGGGTTATTTAAGATTTGTTGTTTGATTTGTGTTGCTTTCGATTCTGAGACACGAGATCGGGTGATCTGAGAACATTATATTTTGTTGTATCTGTGATTGCATAGGAGATTGGGGTAATTCTATTTGAAAATGCTCAGATTCGAATTTGAGAGGAATTCATAATTGTCAACTATTAATTCAGGTTTTTATTTAAATCTGTTCGGGTTTTGTTGGGAATTCAATGGTTAGATATGTATAGTAAGAACGCTTGATTCTCTAGCTAGAGGATAATTTATTTTTCTTCATGACGAGTTTTTTGTCCTAGTGGAAAAAGCTTTGTGACCTTATGTGCAAAACAATGCCCGAAAGTTGTCATTAATCTTTCTGATTTTGTTTGGTTCCCATCCCTCGAAAAATCCTGGAATTACCAAAGAGCGGTGAATTTGTCTTTATCATTAATGGTGGGGGTTGTGAGTTTGAGAATATCTTGGAGGTAGTTCATGTTTATACGTGGAGCCCATTGACTTTAAAAAAGAAAAAAAAAGAGGTCAAGTTTAATGGAGATAAGCTGTGTTGGTGGTTTACTCGTACATCTGGAGTAGAAAATGAAGTCATGCTTTTAAAGATATTGTTTACTAATTGTTGCCAAAATAATGATAAACTTTTCTTCAATTGGTCTTTCACGTTGATAAAAGTAGAGAGCAGTGTAAGGGTAGTTTATAATGTTTATTAATTTGTTCCTATAATTTTGTTTTGACAACACAAATGTCATTTACAGACGTAATAATAACAAGGATGTTTGCCTTTGATGTATATGACACTGTTTGAGAAATACATCGATTTCCTTGCTGCATTGAGTTGTTCTATTGTACCAGTTGCACTCTTATAACATAACAATTAGCACAATGCAGGTTATTTCTAACAAACAACTGCAACCAAGTATTTGTGCAGTGTAGAAATCTTTGTTAAGGTTTTCAATTGTTGTCTTTCTTAAAATCACTCAAGTGACATTGTATGTGGTAGTTGAGAATAAATAACAAAGTAAATTATAACTGAAATCCTCTATTGCAATCTGACACATTGGAAATTATGGTGAATTGGTGATAGTTTCAATTTGGAATTTCATTGTTATTTCTTATTTTGGTTTGCTTTGTGATGGTATGAGTGTGGTATAGTGCATCCATATGGAAAACATTATCCTAGTTCATGCTAAATAAAAAATGCCCCATTTAAGTTGGTAAACATTTCGTGATCGATACAACTTATCCTTCAAGAATTGTGGTTTTAATGTGTGCGCATTTGTTCTTTGTGTTGTCAGGTTGCATCGGACTTCGATTTCAACGACTTAATTTCCTTTATTAAGTCATGGAGAATGTGTGCTTTCGGTCATATTGCTACTACTTTCGGGTTTTCCCATTCCAGCAAGTGCATCACTGGCGGTGTTTTATCCTTGGAGATTTCCTTCTTGTTTCCTTTGTCAACTGCACTTAGTGAACAGTTTCTATTGAATGAACAATACTGGAGGCCTAATGCAAAATTTTTCTGAGATAGGTGTTGGATCTTTAGTGCACATCTATGAGTAAGCTACATATTCACTTCTTTCTAAACCAACATTATATTTTATGTTTATTCTGACACATTTTTTTCTTGTTTGTAGTGCATCGTTGATACAACATCAATTGTGATCCTTGGAAACTGTCTTTTGGGGTAAACTTTACTTAAACATTGTTTTTGTGCATATTCTTCAATTAATTTTTTTACCCTTCAATGTGTTTCTATGAGATGGCACTAACCTTCATCTTTGTTATATTGTTTTTGCTGACCACAGGGTTGAAGTCTGCAAACACTGAATGATATTTTCTTAAGTAGTTTGTATTAGATAAGTCGGTTGCACTGAATTCGTGCAGAGTTTCTAGTTCTTATCTATATTTTTTTCTTCTCTCCTGATGACTGCTGGTTAGAGTGCCTGACATAAACAGTAACTGAAGATTCTGAAAGAGATTTTACGTCCTATAGCTGAGGTAGCTGTCATCAAGTTTGCGATAGTGTGGGGCAACTGTCCCGAGTGAATAAACCAATCTTTTTGCTAAAACAATATTCTGGCTTGATCAGTGTTTGGATTGGTGTCAAGATGTATTGCGGAACTCGACCTGTCCTTCTATATATGCCTTACTGTTATCTCGGGGCCTTTGTTCTGGTATATTTTATGAATAAGGCTGTGAAGCCCATCCATCAGAAACGTACTGGTTCTGTGCTCATGCACTGTGCAGTAGAAAATTAATGGTGGAGTCAGCTAGATCAGCCGGGCAGTTGGTTTACATTTTGTAGTTTTTTTCCCCTTTCTTTAAGTCATCTATTGAAGATAAACGTCATAGATCCCCTATACGGGGCATTCTTTTCTTGAATAAATAAAACATCTGGAGCTGTTGAATCACAAGAATGGAGAGGTACGTCTGTTTATGTAATCTTGTTTAGCACTATTTCTATTTTGATTTTTGTTGGGTTCAGTAAGGCAGTTCTGGGTGGTACAGGTACAAGATAATCAAAGAAGTTGGAGATGGAACATTTGGGACCGTCTGGCGAGCTATAAATAAGCAGACTGGTGAAGTTGTAAGTTCGTGTCAGCCTTAAAAATGAATTGGTTAAGTAAGCTCTTTCAAATTAAATGTTTATTTTAACAGGTTGCGATTAAAAAAATGAAGAGAAAATATTATTCTTGGGAGGAATGCATAAATTTGAGAGAAGTTAAGGTAACATAATTTACTGTTTCACTCTGTTGCCTCTGGCTTTAGTCTTCGTATCTGTATTGACATTAGATGTGTTTGTTTCCCGGCAGTCATTGCGGAAAATGAGCCATCCTAATATTGTAAAGCTGAAGGAAGTCATTAGAGAACATGATATTTTGTATTTTGTGTTTGAGTACATGGTATGTTGGCTTACTCATACTTCGTCAATGTCCTCATTACTTGATTATAAACTTTTATCATTTGTATAAAATTCCATTTAATTCTCGTTTCAGGATTTCAACCTATATCAACTTATGAAAGACAGGGCAAAGCTTTTCTCAGAAGCTGAAGTAAAAAATTGGTGCTTCCAAGTGTTTCAGGGACTTGCATACATGCACCAGCGAGGATATTTTCATCGTGACCTTAAGCCAGGTAGGCATTGCTGGTGTTTGTGATGATTTGAAAATGTTGCACCTGGTTGATGTTACAGAATGTATTTCTAGTTGCTGTGACTTCAGAATTGGATCTGCTTGATATTTGACACCTGCATGTCAGTGTCTAGTTGATTGTGAACAGTGTTGTGACAATAACACAATACTCTTCTTTTCATGAAAAATAGCCAAAAGAAATTAATTTTGATTGTGAATGGTTTTGCAAAATGGGGGAAAAATCGACATTTTTCCTGAAAATATCCAAATTTCTCAGATGACCCAACAAGTCAACTGAAAACTACCTTTAAGAAGCACAAAAATGAAAATAGTGGGAGAAAGGGAAGAAGAGAGAAAACAGTTGGTGTGACTGTTTTATGGCCATTTTTTTCCCTTGGGAAACCCATTTATTTGATGTGTGCCATTATTGCCACCCGATATTATATTTTTCACTTGTGAAGCCCAACATCGGTGTGAGCTTTAATGAACCTGTTTGGTGCAACTTATTATAAGCTAAAAGCTGATAATATCAAAATAATTAGTTTTTCTCAACTTATTTAAGTTATTTCTACCTAGCAAGTTATAAGAGGCTACACCAAATAGGTTGGCACGAACTCCTAAATTAAAATAAGCTATAATAAGCTCCTTTAAGCTGCAACAAACTGCCCCAATGTGTAAATTCCAATGAACTCTCTGCTTTTTGGGTGAGGCTGTGTCTTGCAAATAGGTTGTAATGGGAAATAAGTCTCTATCTCTGTGCTTTAAAGTCCATAGGTAATCGCCTTATAGGTTTAGGTGCCTGGTTAATCTGTTTCTTATAGTTTTACTAATACAAACAGTAGGAGTGGCCTCACAGATGGCCCCTCACAGATTCACTCTCACACTCTGTTCCAGTAATTTATGTTTGAACTCAATTGTTGTTTCTGTTTGTTGTTTGTATAATTTTTCCTTCTTTTAGTATATTCTTTTAAAGAATGTATCTTTACCTGCACAACACCATACAGAGAACTTGTTGGTTTCAAAGGATGTAATAAAAATTGCTGATTTTGGTCTTGCTCGTGAGATCAGTTCCCAACCACCGTATACAGAATATGTTTCAACACGCTGGTATGTAGTGGTTTACCCTCCTCCATCTCATTGTGATATCTGTATTATTAAATGCATACTTTTGTTGTTATTCTTGTGTTTGAATCTAAAATATTGGTTTGGCAGGTATCGGGCCCCTGAAGTTCTGCTTCAGTCTCCAATGTATAATTCTGCAGTTGGTGAGTCACTGATGGAAAGAGAGCATGTAAAACAATGTCTTTATAGAACCTGCGTTAAGATTTTAATTGGATTTTTTCCTTCCTTCCACCAGATATGTGGGCAATGGGTGCGATCATGGCTGAACTTTTTTCTCTCTGTCCCCTTTTTCCGGGCTCAAGGTGTATATCTTGTCCTTTTGATCCCTTGCAATTATTATTAATGGAGTTTAACATTGTAGCGAGCGGAGATATTAGATCATGAATTTGGTCAGCATGAAGGGTGCATTCGCTTTTGGTGAAACAACCCATAGTTTGGTGGCCTAGGCCTTAAAAGATGCTTTCAGTGAAACTTTATGATGTGTGTTTCTGATGCTTTCGCAATAAACTTAAATCCTGATTTCTTTACCTCTTACTTGGGTGGCATTTTGTTTTTGTTTAAATTCAATTCTCTCTCTCTCTCTCTCTCTCTCTCTCATGTTGTGATTGGCCTAATTGCCCTGTTTTAACACAGATTGCAGTGAAGCAGATGAGATCTACAAAATATGCAGCGTAATAGGCACTCCAACTGAGAGTGAGTGGGCTGAGGGTCTGAAGCTTGCAAGTGCTATTAACAACCAGTTTCCACAGGTTTGCTATTTGTATATCCTTACCATATGCATCAACTCGGAATGTCATATGGTCATATTGTTTGGCGAATGTTGCACAATAAATTAAGGGCAAATTACACCAACCGTCCCTATAGTTTGGGACTCATGTCACTTTGATCCTTGATTTTTCAATTGTGAAACATTTGACCTTAAATTTTGAATCTTGTTCCAAATAAGGACAATTAAAGATACCATTGCTTAATTTCAAGGGTAAAATCGTTAATTTGATAAAATATAAATTAATTTGACAAAAATAACTGCCAAAAACATATTTTTAAATTTTTAAAAATTATTTTATTCACCAACGATAAAATTATGTAAAATTGTTAAAAATTAATAAAAATTACATGATTAATTTTTAAAAATTAATTTTACATGATCATCATCCAAACACATAATAAAAATTAATTTAATAAAAAAAATAAATATATAAAAGATTTATCAATTTTACATAATTTTATCTTTAGTGAGTAGAAATAATTTTTAAAAATTCAAAAATATTTTTTTGACATTTATTTTTGTCAAATTAGTTTCTTTGTCAAATTAGTTTATATTTTATTAAATTGACGATTTTGCTCTTGAAAAATCCAATGGTATCTTCAATTGTCTTTATTTGAAACAAGATTCAAAATTCAGGATCAAATGTGTCACAATTGAAAAGTCTAAGAACCAAAGTGACACAAATCTTAAACTATAGGGACTGTTAGTATAACTCACCCATAAATTAATCTTCCTTTAGCAAATATGACATAGGCCTTAGAAGATGCTGTTTATTTTGACATGACAGCTCAGTGGTGTCCACCTTTCTGTACGGATACCATCTGCAAGTGAGGATGCAATCAATCTTATTACAGTAAGTACCGATCTTTCGTAACTTTCTGCTTTCTATTCTCTTGCCTTTTTAATTTTTAATTTTTTATTTCAAAAGTGGAAAATTCATTGGTGTCTTTAAGAACTTTAGCTGGTTGTGTTATGAAGATTGGTTTTGTTCTATGTTACATGGACTGAGGTGGGCTGTCAGGTGGAGGTATGTGTCTAAGTATCAAATTTATCTAATTTTCATGTCTAAGGACACCAGGACATGGCTTGATTTCATATTTTGTAATTACTTCTGTTATCTTCAAAGTAGCATTTTATGCATGAAACAGGAATCTCTTGCATATTTAATATAGTAGACCCTACGAGGACTAAGGCGTATACTAAATGGGTGCATGTCTAGCCATGCATGCCCCACACATTCGATACATTTACTTGAGTGTTGAGGGTCGAACACAGATACGTCACAAATTTAGAGGGAGTCCATGTAACATAGGTTTTTTACTATCCTGACATTGGTTTTTTACTAATCCATCTCATCTTCTAATTTATGATTTTTCTGTATTTCTCCAAAACACCTAGTTGCTTTGTTCATGGAATCCTTGCAAGAGGCCAACAGCCTTGGAGGCCCTACAGCATCCATTCTTCCAGGTGGCAATCTTTCTCCTTCCGCAGCATACATTTATTATTGCAAGATCCATGCAGACTGGAATGTGCATTATGTATCTTTGTGCTTAACCTGTTGTGACTTTAGATATCTTAGATTGTATCTTTTCATGTGGCAGAGTTGCTTTTATATACCGCCATCTCTTCGCTCCAAAACTGCTGTTACAAGAACACCTCCATCTGGTACGGCTTTCTCATACAATTTTGTCTTCCTTGCACAACGTATGAATAATTACTCAACCCTTTTTTGTTGCACATTTTGCAGCTGGAACAAGGGGTGTGCTAGAGCATAAATCTGTGAAGAGGCATTCTGGGACTCTCTCTAATTCAAAGTCAGCTAACAACTTTCCTCCTGCCAAATCGCATGTGTCTCTAACGACAGGTGACGTATTACTTGCAGTTTTGATAATCTGAATCAAGTTGTTGCCACTTTTCTATGCACTTCTAGTTATATGATACAATTGAGTTGGGGTTGGGGTTGTGAAGTGTCGGAACTTTTATTTCAATTTAAAAGTTCATTGCTGAGAGGATCCATTTTAAATCTTCTTTCCTTTGCTCTGAGATGGTGAGCCTCAAGATTAGTCAGTGGTGGCAGTGTTTAATTAGTATTGAAATTTGTTTTTGACTAATATGGCTGTTGGAGTCTCAGTTTGTTGAGTAGCTGGTATATTTTTTCTTTGGTAGTTGAACTCTTCTTTTTTGTTCTGTGTTCTGAAGTTGATCCAACACATCAAATGTCTAAACTGTGCAGAACAAATATTGTCCTTTCAGAATGTCGTCTAAGTATCTCTGTATGTTTGTTTGCATGTATAAATATGTTTCTAGTCCTGATGTTTTTGATAAAATGCAAAGTTATGAGACGTAACAATTGACAACTGAAGGGGAAAAATGTTGCTTGTACCATGAAACTAATGTGTTTTTCTTTCTATCACCTCTGTAAGTTGCATTGTTTTTTTTTTTTTTTTGGTTATACACTATTATAAGTTGTGTTTAATTTGTTACTTGATTCTCATCTTATCTTATTCTAATGATTGTTACAGGTGTGCAACGTAAATTGGAAATGAATAATCAGGTAAGGGCAGAACTTACATTACCATATGCTTTTGCTTCTCTGTGATGTTCACTGATGGTGATAGTTGATTTGTTTGAGCTCTGCTGATCATTCTTGGTTACATCTTTTTATTTCCCCCCTTTCTCTGTGGTGTATAGGATGCAATTAAGAATGATAAATTTTCGAAGATCGCTGCCAAAGAACCACCACCACGATACCGACCACCTGCAAGGAACAGTCCTAGTAAGTGTTTGTTCACTAGTTTTTTGTGTTCACATGGTTTTTGTTGAGTTTGATCTAGTTTTCAAGAGATGATGTGATCACTTCCGCTAGCCTGGCCAGAGAAGATAGGAGAAACAACTAGTTGTGACCTAAATGCTTTGGATGACTACTCATGTCACTTGTTCATCATATGCATAAACAGTTACTAGTCTATTTGATGTTTTCATTTTTGCATTTTGTTGGAAGTTATTCTCCTTATACATTATTGTCAATTTAATGTTGATTTGAAAATAAAATTTAATTTTATAGCTGTAGTATGTTTCAGTGTTTTGTTTTTGAACAATTACTGTGTCTGATAAAAACACAATGCTGGTGTTGGCAGCTTCCATCTACAATGGCAAGACAGCACGAGGAGTTTCTGAGACAGCGGAGAAGCTGGCAAATATGAACATTGGTTCTGGAAGATTGCCGCCGCCTGCAAGGCAGTCCTTTCCAGGACCCATGAAGGCTGGGGGATGGCATGGCCAATCTGACTTGCCTGTTGGAGGCCGATCTCAAGATATGCAGCCTGGAAGAGCATTCACCAGGAAAGTTGTGGGATGAATGAATGAAGATAATCGTAAATATGGGTAATGGGTTTACTGCATATGCATATATATAAATATTGTCCTTATGTGACATTTGGAAGTTAGATATGTTGTGTGGTGTGGGTAATGAGAGAGATGCGTTATGTAAAATATTGTCGTATGAGAAATGGGTTGTTATGACGACTTATCACTTTGTCATAAAAAAGATTGCAGCATGGTCTGGATGTTTTGCTGCTATCTTTCGGGTGCGTCTGATGGTGACTTGACATAACACTATTTGCTTAAATATTTGAAATTTCTATAAATTCAGTTTGGTTTCCATTAGAGTATGTTAGCTGCTCTGCTTACATTGTGGTGTGGTTGAAAAAGATTATTATTTTGCCAGAGAGCTTAGTGGTTATTATTATTATTTGTTCCTAACATGTTTAAAGCTCAAGTTGAAAGAACTTCAAACCTTCCAACTGCTCATGTGGGCAAATTGGTTTTGATAAAGAGTTCCATATGGAAAATTAAATGGAATATTCTTTTAGAATCTTTCTGAAATGAAAAAGAGATTTTGATCACATCTGAAATGAAAAAGAGATTTTGATCACATCTATCCTCTCACCTCGCCAAAGAGAATCAGGGTTCGTTTGGCATGTCTTTGGGGCTAAAATAGCTATATAAGACCAAATAAGATCAAATGTCACGTCTAACCTATAATTATTTTAGTTTTTCATTAACAAAGATAAAAAAATTAAAAAATTTATTTTAAATAAGAGTTTTTAAGTTCAAGTTAAAATAATTAAAAAATGAAAATGTCATTTCACATTCCAAACGAATTCTCACATAGAGAAAATGGTTTTGTTATGGTCCATTTCAAAGAAAAATGGAAAACAGAAATTGATCACATCTAGCCTCTCACCTAGCCAAATAGACAATCACTAAGAAAGAGCAGGATCCGACATATGAGCAGCACATGTATGTCTATCATAGTGCAATATTAATAATACATATCATAGTATAAAATAAGAATTAGGCTATCATACTTTGTTCCATGGTATCGTTTTAATTTTATTTTTTATTTTAATAAAGTAAATATTATTATTTTATTTTATGTTTTCTTCTAAAGCTGTAGATAGTGAGAGAGACAAGTAAAGGTGCAGAAGTACATAAGCTTCCAATTCCATTTCTCAAACTCTGATATGTAAATCTTGAGACAAAATAATTCAAAGAAGCCCCAAGACCAAAAAATAAATAAAAAATCTTGCAAATTGTTGGTATGAACTCTGAAGATCATAAAGGCAAAAAGAACAAAAAATAATAATAATAATAACAAAAAAACAAATAAAATAAAATAAAAAGGCCTCTAGAAACCAAACCTATACTACATGTCCTCACATTGCATTCATTCAAATTAATGTCTCTATCTATTAGGATAACCCCACAGTATAGACTGAATCATCATCACAAAAATACCTGTCAAGGATTAATGATTATAGCATTTTAGGACAAGAATGCCATTTCAATTCCCGACTATGGTAAGCGATAATCCAATCTGTGGTGACTCCATAACATGCTGAGAAGCAGAAATGTAGAATGATTCCATTTCCAGAGAAACTGTGCTCTAATTGCAGACAAGCATTGCAATGTGAACACCAATAATTCATCAAAGGTATTGTGCTTGTATTCTCTCCCTATTCTCTTCCCACCAGGTCTTCGCGTTCACCTCTCCAAACTTTTCTCGGCTGTGAAAAAAAAACACAAAGTAGCAGAAGAACATAGAGAAGATCATATCAGAACTAGTTGTAGATAGGAAGCATCAATTTAATGATCTTAATAATTGCTAAAAGTTGTAATCAATTTGTTCTGCTGTAGCACAATGTTTTAAGTACTGGCATGAGAAGAATTTTTTTTTTTTTTTTCTCCCAATGGCATTCAAAAGAGAGATGTGGTCAAGGGTTGGATTATTGATGTGTTATTATTGTATTATTATAAACATAAAAAAAGAAAAAAGAAAAAATAAAAATAAAAAAAGAAGCAAGAAAGAGAGGAAGAAATACTCCATCTTGCTTTGAATTAAAAAACTGCAGAGGGAATCAGTCACAACAAAGGGGAAAACTCATCCCAAAGGAAGAAAAAAGAAAGAGGGAAAGAAAATGGAACAGCATGGGTAAAATTTTTCATAACCATTAATGTTGAAATAAAAAAATTCATCTTTGTTTTAAGAAATATGGGTAAAATTTTTAAGTGAAAAGCTCATTTCAAGATTTCATTTACATGGCTTGCCTAGACTGCTTTGTACGTATTCACATATCATCAATAAGAATACAGGGGAAAAAAAACAACAAAAAAACTAAACAATCTTATCAAACCAAGTTTCCAAATTTGTTTTAATTCTATCATTCATGATTCACGACCACCAAACTGCACAAAAGAGAAGAAAAATTATAGCTTGGTTAAATTTCATTACCTGAATCTGACACGCCGCAGCTCTCTAGTGCCATCAGCTAACTGTCTGATGGTAATGTACACCCCAGGCTCATCTTCCTCAATCCATTCTGATTCTACGTCGCTGGCATTGCTAATTGAAACCGAATTCTCATCTCTAGAGGAGGTTGTTGTACGTGACGCGTCCATTGATGCTGGGCCACCAGCACCATAATTACTTGACCCAGCATTGTAGTAGTGGCTGCCTCCTTGATCTGAAGGTTTATAATAGTTTCTTGGCACCCATTCTTTGTTTAGTGATGGAGTCATCATTGGACTTTCCCTAGCCAATCCTAGTCTTGAGTAAGTAGAATCTCTTGGCTGCAAAAGTTAAATTCGGTAAGCTATGGGGATTAAATTTTGTTTTGCTATGTTATTTTAGTTAGTTGGAAACGGAAACATTTTTGAAACACAAGGGAAATGAGAAAATAATTTTTATTTTGTCCTTTCCATTTCTCCTTTTTGTCTTTCTAGATTCTCATGGTCTTTAATAAATTTATTTATTTTTTCCGCTTTATTCTCGTTTCTCACATTTTTTTTGACAAAAAGATGTAAATGAAAACTACCATAGTTAAATATTCTTTCTTACTAAGTGTAGAAACAACTCATTCTTTCGGTTTGTTTCATAATGTTTTGGCGCATTTTGGCAAGTTTCAATGGAAAAAATTGGAATTTTGATATTCCACTACTGTTTCCTTTTGGTTTCCTATTATACAGAAACGTTTTGACTGCTTTGATGGAAAAGAAATGAAATTTTGCTCCTTGATTCTGTATGAGTTCACTTGCAGATGGATACAGATACAAATATCACTAAAAAAAAAAATTTGCACTTGAGTTGTAAGTGGGTTATTGTAGGAGATCAACCCAAATTGAGTTGGCAGCCACATGGAAGGGTGGCCAACCCACATGGTAAAAGGAAGGCAAAAGAGGTTGGCATGAGTTGGCAAGTCATGAGGCTTGAGTTGGCAGCCATGAGGCTTGCCATGCGCCAGCAACAAAGGAGAAAGCATGGAGTTGGCCATGTGAAGTCTTCACATGGTGGGACAAAGCTTTCAACTGGACAGCAGCTCAAAGGAGAATATTGGGCTGGCAGCCAACACACCCATGAGGCCTCCTCCACCTTCTGTTTTGGTGTATAAAATGGAATGGTGATGGTGAGTTGAATACACGGCAAACATAGCAAGCAAGAGAGAAACACACTGCTGAGAGAGAGGCACAAAACAGAGAGAGCTAGTGAGAGCTATATTCTGTTTGTGTATCAGAGAGTGTGAGAGAGTGTGTTATATAGAGAGACAGTGAGTTGAGAGTGTGTAATCTCCTCCATTTGTTGATATATAACAACATCGCTCCCGTGGACGTAGGCCGGTTTGCCGAACCACGTTAAAAGTCTTGTGTTTTTGCTTGTGAGTGTCCCCTGGTGTGCCCAAGATCCGCAACAGTTATGTGAAGGTAGGAAGCTATCTAGTATTCAACAACTTAATCAAGAGTAACAAATCCTTTTGTTACATGCCCAAAAAAAAGTCTATGTAGTCCAAAGATAAATTTTGACTCTTGACCATTTGTACATTCATTTTAGGATAGCAGATACCAGCGAAATACATTAATAAATAACAAAGTGAATTAAAATGAAGTCGTCAAACGTGGTTTACCTCATCCTCAGACCTTAGGGGAGTTTGAAGAGCTTGCTGATTGAATCTCTGAACATTGTAGAGCTCCATGATTCGATCATAGTTCTCACCCCACCATCGTTGAGCTTGCCATTTATTAAACATTTCTCGGCTTCAAAATTTAAATGTACAAGCAACATCAGTATCAAATTTTAGAAACAAAAGAACTAAACATCCACTGAGCAATTTGGCATCTACAAGATCCATATTTTTTGTTTAATATGTAGAACTGAGTGTTTCGTGTTGAAAATATTTCAAGTAGGTGTAGTCCATGTGGATAGGTATAGTCCATGCTACTACAACAACTATCAAAATTGATGACTCTATAACATGGATTCTTCAAACATGGGATCCCATCCATCAACCATGCAAGAAATAGATGTTTAATGAAGGGTATACAAAAAAAAGGGGCAGAAAGATATCAAACAATTCAATAATTGACTATTTAATCCAGGGTAAGCCAGCTTAAATTCTATATGAAGTAAACTACCTTGAAAATCTTAAACATTTTGAGTCTTTTTCAAAGCCTTCTATTCCTAAGAAAATGCAAGAAAGAGATTCAAAGCCAGTTCTTCGGCATGGATGTATGTAGATTATAATGCTTGAACTAATAGAATTTTAAACTTGGCTAATGACAAATAGTGTGTTTGGGAGAGAAACACACATTAATGTGTACTAATTGGGCGTTGTTTTTTTAATGACAAATGGTATAGAACACTAAAAATGTACCTGAAGCGGATTCGTTTGAGTTCATTCCCACCATTAGGAAGAGACACAAAAGTAATTTGCACGCCGGGCTCCACCTGTGCCATCCACTCCTTGGGCTCATCCTCATCCTCTAGCACGACTTCACTAGACCTGCTACAGATAGATTCTAATCCTACAGAGGGACGGTCACCACCATATGACCGGGCAAACCTTGAATCAGAACCACCAGCCAGGTTGTGGCCTGTGGTAGTAAAATCCCATGCAGGTGTTGAGCTCGAGCTTCCTGGGTAGGGGACCCCTTCTGAGATGGTGTCGAAGTCTGGGAAAGACCGCTGCCCTTTCTTATAGCTACTAGTGCCTGTACCAGGCTTCCTGTAGTTACCCGACATTTTCAATGCCATATCCTTGATCTGCATATTGTTGAAATCATAAGTTAACTTACCAGAGGTATTGTATACTGGAAAATTTTAGACCCTTTTCTGTGCTCTTAAGTGGAATGTGTATATATAATATTGAAAGCAAAGGATTATATGAAAAATTCTTTGAAAGTATATTTTAGAACTTCAAAGGAATTTTGTGAGCTCTGAAGAGCAATTCAGGCCAGTTTCAATAATTAGGCATACTATTACCTTGAATATGAATGTGTTAATGGTTAGTTTGTACTAACAGTATGGAGAGAGAGAGAGAGACAAAATTAGATTAAAAAAAATTAAGCATGACCCAGAACCAAGGAACCATCAGATTGTTTTCTTTATTAGTTTTGTTTACAATGGCCAAACATGTATACACTAATAACAGTAGGAACTACAAACCTCGTATGCCAAAAAAATTGAGAATGACCCAGAACCAAGGAACCATCAAGATTGCTTTCTTTACTAGTTTTGTTTACAATGGCCAAACATGTATGCACTAATAACAGCAGGAACTACAAACCTTGTATGCCAACTATTACTTGTTCATCAAATCTTTATTATATGCTAACCAGAAAACCAGATAAGTTAGGCTTAAGATCACACTTTTCTTCCAAACAGCTCAGTTTTTACTTCTAATGCTTGTGTTTATGATATTTTATATTTTCCTAAATGCTGTGAGTTTGTCAAATGACAAGAAGCTGCAACATTAACAGCACATTAACCATGTTCATCAATCAAGTTTGCTAAGAAAAATTTGTGAGTCACAACATTACTTGTAGACTTTTGGCTTCTCGAGTAACCTATTCTTACAAACAGAACACAAGAGCTAAAGCACAAACACGTGTGAAATATTATTTTTTTGACACAAGATCCATTAGAGAGGCATTGCCGACCTGACCCCTAGGCCGTCGCCTAAGGTTCTATTTTTTAAAAATGTCTCAAATTTTGAAGTTGCTTGCCAAATGTCCAGCCAATAAAAAAAAACCTCCTTGTCCAAGGGCCAAGGAAAAATGGACTTTTGTTCTCCAAAGTCCCCAATAGTAAAAGGCCAAAAAAAAAATCCTCATCCAAAGATCCTCAATAGTAAGGCTTAAAAATTCTTCATTGTCCCAAAGGCCTAGTAAAAAACAAATTTTGTTTTCCAAAGACCCATATAAGAAGAAAAACAAATACCTGTCCAAAGGCCCCTAATAATAAAATTTGTGAATAACATTTGATTATATTTACAAGAATCCAGAACAAAATTAAATTTTACATTAGTAATTGTAAAAATGTTATTTACATATAAAAAAGGCCTCTCATTGAAATTTTAGCTTAAACATCATCGGGTTAAGAAGAACAATTGTATTATTTATATTTTCAACACACTTTCCTTCATTCAATAAATTAAATTCGACAGTGTGCAGAGTGGGACAAGCCAAGGTCAAAGCTGATGGTCTAACAAAGTTTGAAATAAATCACCATTAAGGCATTAACTTTTCTGCTACAAAATCAGCCTTGGTTTGGCCATCATAAATAAATTCACTTTACTGGATATTGATAGGCTATGGCATTTTTTCCTCTTTTCTTTTGGCAATTTTGAATACTTTTTGAAAATACAATAAAATGAGTAGACAAGAATTCAATGGTGGGTCATGGCAAGGACACACTAGGATAGGATGTGTCTACTCTTCCTGAATATGGGTCCTTCTCTTTTCCCTGGATTCCCACTATGAGATATTGTTATGTTTGTGTGGAATAAGTATAGTATACATATATTTATATAAATAGTCACTAGTGTAATGGAGTTGCATATTCTACAAAGAAACTGACCAAATCAACTTCACTTTCTTTCAGCCCAATTTAAAAACTTGACGAAAGGGGATTAAAGAAAGGGTTTTTGGTTTTCATGTGTACTTGCATGGATCTCGTGTACATAATTAAAGAGATTGGTGGGGAAGTTAGTGCAGCATTTGGCCGCTATTTCTGGAAATGGTCACATAGAATAAACAACACTGTCATATAATAGTATATAATGTAAAATAGGGGTGAACAATGACTTCCATGCCATTTATATTAGAGCAATGTTAGGAAGTCAAAATATTTATCCACAAAAATATTCAGAAAAAACATTAAAGGGTTAAGATGCATTTCAAGAATGGATCTCATTATACAAAATTGAAACCAGACTGTCCAACAATATTCTGGGTAACAAGTTTCTGGATTTTTTTTTGGATCCATGGATTTTCTATTTATATTAAAGGGCAAAATTCATTTTACCCCCCTGTGGTTTGGGGGTGCGAATTAACCCCCTGACATTTGAAAATCACTACATAACCCTCGTGGGATTTGTGGACTAAAACGCGTAGTTAACATTTCTGTCCAAGATAACAGACAGTGAGAGCCAGAGTAAGTCAATTTTTAAGACAAAAATACCCTTCTTATATCTTTAAATTTACCAAAAATGCCATTATTTTTCCTCTCTCCTTATTTCTATTGTTTCTCTCTCTACTCTTATAATTAATCATCTAACTAGATATATATATATATATGACTGCTATCATTTTCAGAATAAAGGTTAGTATCAATTACTTGAGAACAAAACCCACAATCATAATGCTTGTTTATTCACTAAACCCTTGTTGATTCACTAAACCCTCTTCTTCATCATCAATATCTGTAAACCTCCACCTAGAAAGAAAAAATAAATAAATATGTGTATATGTTTCAACAAAATCAACCTTCAATTTTCACTATGCATCTATATATATATGGATAAAATATAAGCACACAAAGTGTTTTTTCAATCTTCACTGTGCATCTATATATATATATGTGTGTGTGTGTATGTGTATAAAATATAATTTTGGAGATATTTGATGAACTAGATGATTTGGTGATGTTTGATGAATTAGGAATTCAAAATTATATTCTTTGATTCACTGTGCATATATATATATATATATATTCTTTAAGAAGATGATCAAACGCATCTAAATTGGACAACACCAATGGATGCCCCAACCTCGATCTACGATTCTGCACCATGTCTTCTTCAATAAGTGAAACTTACCCAAAACAACTTCTATTATCATCCAATCTCCATAGGCTTCAATATGTGTGTGTGTCAAGAATAATTTTGGGGATATTTAATGAATTAGATGATTTGATGATGTGTTTGATGAATTAAAAATTCAAAATCGTGTTATTTGATTTCAATTTCTTCATTGTGTATATACATACATATATATATATATATATATATATATATATCTTTAATTGGGAAACATTATTTAAAAAAAAAGAAGAGAGAGAGAAGAAGAAGATGAAGATGAGGATGAGGATGAGGATGAGGGTATAACTATCAATTTACAACTTCTGTTAACAGAAATTAGTGTGCATTTCAATCCACAAACCCTATGGAAGTTATGTGGTGATTTCCGAATGTTCGGAATAATACGCATCTGGCCCAAACCATAAGGGTAAAGTGAAGTTTGCCTTATATTAAAATAGTAGTAAAGGAACTTGTTTTCAGATGCACTAAACTTGACATTTCAGGTTAATGTATTGCTTTCAATCTTTAATTGATATACGTAATTTATGAGTGATGGTAAGTATTTGGAGTGTGTTTTGCATTGTGTCTAAAATGCACCCGTCTTAAAGATTACTTTCAATCTTAATTGATATACCTAATTTATGAGTGACAATAAGTATTTAGAGTGTGCTTTGCATTGTGTCTAAAATGCGTCCGTCTTAAAGATGGTTATTATATTTGTCTTTTGTATCAATTTGATTCTTATGATCAATTTTGCCTTAATTTTTTTTATATTGTCAATAATTGATAGCATCTATAAAATTGGATTGAAATCAAAGTGAATGAATCACTTTTCGAATGAATCATTTTCTTCAATTTCCTTCTAATTTCTTAAAGGGTGGTTATTAATTGAGTCAAATGATATAATGTGAAAAAAACAAAATCAAATAAATTTGAATAAAAAAAAAAATTATGTTGGTTTTGTTTTTATTGTTTGTATGCTAAGGATGCCGAGACAAACCAGCTGTGGGTATGACATAATGTCTCATCAGCTTATAGGAGGAGAGACTCCTACTAGCAAAGGCCAGTTAAAGCTTTTTCATTTCATACCAAAGGGACAAGTTGTGTCTTTTTCACTTTTTTGATAATACAGAGATTCCCCCAGATAGACATCTGAAGAGTTACTTTCGAATCACAATCTTACAGAAGATCTTCGAATATATTCAACAATTTTTTGCTACCATAAAAGATCGTACACCTATTGCTTTACATTAGGACCCACTAAGGCACTCGCTAGTATGACTAGGGATGACAACCTAGGGTTTTTTTTGAATTTTTATTTTTAAATTTAACTATTTTAGTCATATAATTTCATGTTTTATCTTAATTTTTAGGATAAATTACAAATACACCTCTTAAAATTTGATTAAAATACAAACCACTCCTATTATTTTGAAAATTACATTCCACTCATTGAAATCTCTAATTTCGTAATAAATTGCCCATTTTATTAATAAATCATGAAGTCAATTAACAGATTTTAATGATATTAGAAATATATTTCAATTAATAATTTAGGTAATTTCATTATTGTATTAGAGAACAATTATGAATTTTATTTTTTTAGTTAATTTTGTCAAATAAAAAATTCTAACAAGGGAGTATTTGTAATTTTTAAAATCACAGAGACATACTCTGTACTTTAAGCAAAGTTCAAGGGATATATTTGTAATTTATCCTAATTTTTATAATTTCCTCTCGTGCTTAGTATAATCCTACCTCGACTGACCTTTCCCAGTTTAACTTTATAAATTTTGTGAACATGAAAATTATCTCGACTACTATATTAAAATTTTCAAAAATACTTGGGAGCTCTAATTAGAGCCACCACTAATGATGTGGCACTGCCACAGTGTATGTTGTGTCCTTTTTTTTTTCAATTTTCACCTCACTCGTGATGGATTTAGAGCTCCTTATTGCTGTAAAATTTTGGAAGTGAGGTTACTTCCTTTACAAAAAATAAAACAAAAATGCCAAACGGTGAGCAACTGTGTTGGCCTTGTGAATATTTTTTTTGGGTGTAAGACCAACTCCAATGTGAAAGTTAAAATAGTTTTGTCAAAGTCATTTTTTAACTTATTACAATTGGTCATATTTTTCAAAGTATACATTAAAATAATTTTACCAAAGTCATTTGTATGTTTCAAAGTATACCACTACAATAGTTTTATATTATTTTGACACAACCAAATTTTATATCATTTTTTGACTATTAAATCTAATTTTCAAAGTATCTAATGAATGGAGTAATTATTTTTATTGATGTGATAAATTTAACAAACCAAATCTTATACCAAATTTTAACTCAGATTTTAACATACAATTGGAAGAAATTTTTTATGAAAGTGCTATCAAAAATAACTTTGACTGACAGGGTATGTGCTAAAGTCTTGTCACAAATATTTCTTGGCATAAGAAAAGGATATTACTTGTCAGTAGAACTCTAACAAAATATTTACAGATTACTTATAAACTTTACAAACATTAAAATATAAAATAACAATTTTTTCATTAATTAATAATTAACTTATAAAAAGTACACTAACATGTATTTTCTCCTGAAAAAGCATATGAGACACCTTTCACAAATTTCAAAACTCATACCACTTTATAAATTTTATACTAATTCTAAAATGCTATTCATCTCAATTTGAATATAAAATTTTTTGCCACATATAGTCAATAGTTATTATTTTTCATCTATAAGCAAATGAGAGAGTGAGAGAGAGAGGTGAGGGTATAAGATTAGAACCTGCGTGGTCAGGCCTTTGACCGCGTCTTTTGTACTAGGTGTTCCGCGCACCACTTCCTCGTCGTCCTCGATCTTTTGCTTCGAGCATGTAATACACGTCAGCATTTTTGTTTTTCTTCTTTAAACAACCTTTTTCTATTTTTCTACCTTACCTGCACATACAAAAATAAACAAATAAATACTGAAATGGTGAATTACAGCATCCCCTTTCATTATTAATTTATGTCACTTTATGGTCTTCATTTGTAAACTTATGTATTTTGACTCCGCCAATTAAAAAAATATATTATTTTTAATTTTTTTTATACCATTTTCAAAAAAAATATATTTATATAATTTTTATAATTAAAAAAATAAATATGTATATATGTTCATAATAAGTGATACTGGCTGATACTTAAAGAAATCTTAGATAATTAACCCTAAATAAAGAAAGAAAGAAATTGAAGGGGCAATAAATGCATTCATTTAAGGTAATGAATAATGCTATATGTACTAACTATTATACTAAGAAAAATATTTGAGGGTCACAATTTTTGTGGCTACAATGGCTCAAAACTGCCAAAACGACGTTGTTTTGGGTGCAAAACATGTCAAAATGACGTCGTTTTGGGTGCAAAACATGTCAAAACGATGTCGTTTTGACAGTTTTGAGCCATTGTGACCACAAAAATTGTGGCCCTCTAGCATTGTTGTTATACTAATTAGTGTATAAATTTCCTCTTTCGAGCCAATGGTCCTTCTGTTGAAAATATATCTGAATTCTTGAAAAAAAATCCTTTTAAGATGCGTTTGATTCATAGATTTGAAAAGAAAAAAAAATATATATAAATAAAATATAATTATTTTTTTTGGTTATATTTCACATATTTTCTTTATTATTTTTACTTTTCAAATCATTTATTTAAATTCATAAATCAAACGCAAAATTAAGAAATAAGATTTTAAAAAGGATACTGTTAGAAAATAAAAACGAGAAATGTTATATACATATAAAATTTATACAGAATGATGTGCTTGCTTAAGCATGCTATTGTCACATTGTTTTTGTGGCAAATTATGTGAAACAATTATGTTCATAGATCATTTTTCAAATAAAAAAGTGCAGCCAATACATGAAATCAGTGAGTCCTGTTTGGTTGCCAGGAAAAAGAAAAAAAGAAGAGAGACAAATGTAATGGCGGTCGGGTTCATTGAATTTTCCAGGAAGCCAAACCGGGATTTTGAGAGAAACGAAAAGAAAAAGAAAAAAAGAGGAAAGAGAGATTGGGATCAGTGGAAGTGATATGTAAATAATGGACCCAATAATTGAAAGGAAAGAAATTGAAAGTGGTCACAAATGAATAGTGTGTGTGTTGTGTGTGCGTGCTTTACCGTGCAGAAATCGAATAAAGTCGAATAAAGAAATGTCATTTGTGAGTATGCCGAAGTTTCTGACGAGTCGATTATAATAATCTATTCATTTCTCATTCATTCATTCGTTCGTATCTTCTACATTCTTCAATAAATCCAAAACAAAAAAGTGAATCATCAATGACTCTGTGTGAAGTAAGCATTTGATGAATCGAAAAAAAAAAAAAAAAAAAAAAAAAATCACTTTGGTTGACTGGTCCTTTCTCACCTAAGCAAATTACTCTCTCTCTCTCTCCAAAAAAAAGTACTCAGAGACAAAATTTCAACACTCTTGCTTCAGATAACTTTTTGTTCCTCTTCTTTGGCACAGTGTTGATAAACAAAATCCAGAGAACGTGAAATCGATTATGAGAATTATAGAAATGAAGTTCAAATCCAAACAAGTAAATCGAGAGAAAGAGAAAATTGACTTGAGAAAATTCAGAGATTGGCAACAACAAAAACAGAGATCAGTACAATGGAGAATGTATATATATATATATACAGTTTATAGATAGAAATACTTTACCTTAAAAACAAAGCAAGGTGTCTCTGTGTCCAGTGATTTACTGCCTCCAAAACAAGCTAAAAATCTAGAGCTCTCTTCAATGGCGATTGAAATATCACCGAAGTTACCTATTTTAGTCCCTTTTTAGCTTCAAAAACAGAGTGACAAAGAAAAAGAGTCAAATCTCTCAAATCCCTTGAATTCTGCTTCGGAGAATCAAGCTAGAGATAGCGAACATCACTCAAACGTCACACATTCTTGAGAGAGAGAGAGAGAGAGAGAGAGAGAGAGGGGGGAGAGAGAGAATTCTTCGGATTTGTGATCACCACCGGCGAGACTCCAGCAGCTTTTAGCGATTCCAAAAAATGGAAAGTTTTGTGATTTACGATTATATATATATATAGCTATGCTTGCATATATATGGGAAGAGATCAAGAATAAAGACACAAGGGAAGAGAACATATCGGCGTGGGTACATATGTATGTATCTATATATATATATAGAATGAAACTATTCATACCGATGGATATATTAATTAATATATATATATATAGAATGAAACTATTCATATCAATGGATATATTAATTAATGTATTGATAGTTGATGTGTTATAATTTTAAAATATTTAAATTTTTGTAATTTATATAATATATGAGATTCATAATTTTAAGAATAATATTATATGTTTTAATTAATATATTAATAGATAATGTGATATAATTTTAAAAATTTTAAATATTTATAATTTATATAATAGATAGAGTCAGTAATAATGACATGACACTAATTGATATATTAATATATACATTAATTAGTATACGTAGTACTATCATAATTTTAAATAGTAATACTATAATATATATTAATATACTAATTATATATTGATCAATGCATGTAGCAACATTGATATATATAGAGAGAGGAGAGAGAGAGAGGGACGTGACAAGTGACAACGTCATTGTCCGCCGTTAGATAACGGAAAACGTGTGAGTAAATTGGTGTGTGTTTGGGCTAAATTAGATTTTCTCCATGTTTGATCAATTTCCCATTTTAACTCTTAAATTTTTTTTGATATTTCATGTTTGAAATTTATTCAAAAAAGTTAAATTGTGTTAAAAATTAATGGGTGATTGGGGTTTGTTTATTTGATGATTTTTTTGATTTATTTTCATCTTTAGTGATTTTTTTAAAACTTTAAAAAAAAATTTAGACTTATAGATTTAACTCGACAAGATGAACCAAAAAATTAAAAAATTTCAAAAAAAAATAAATAGAAAAGACAAAAATAATAAAAAAAAATAGTGAATTTCTTTGACGTATTTTGAGTTTTTCAAGTTTTTTTTTTTTTTAAGTTTAAGAATTTTTTTTCTTACTTTTTATATTCATCTACACAATACGAATCGAAAAAGTAAAAATATTTGACATAATTTTGAAAAAAAATCATTAAAGATAAAAAAGAAAAAAATACAAAAAAAAAAATGTGACTTATATACGTGTTTCCAAACACCTAGAAATAACACATCAATAGTCACATAATATTATATAATTTGTTTTATTACAGATTTGATACAAATTTAAATATTAATATAGTAATTTACTTTTTATGTTATGTGACAATTAACGTAATATTTTTTGTTTAATTTTAAATAGATATTAGCTTATAGGAAGTGGGGAAAATTTTAAAACATGAAAGACTAAAATGGAGGGGAAAAGAAAAATTAAAAGTTTAAATAAAAAAATGACTAAACATAATAAAAAGACAAGTCTAAAACTGTCGTGATACACGTCGTTAATATGTGTATATGTATAGATAGACAGAAACAGTTAGGAGTGGTCTTGATCAATGAGGACATGTGGGACTTGGCTGTCTGAGGTGGTGCAAAGGAGGATTCTACCGTGTGTGTCTCAAGTAGACCACGTTTTTTTAACGATGTTGATCTAATCAGATGATTTTGGTGACTCAAGAGCCATTTGATATTTTTCCATTTTTTTCTTTTTATTTTTGGGAGACTCATGATACATACACAAAGAATTTTTGCACACAATTCTAAAACATCTTTCAAAAAATATTTAAAGATTCATAAGTTTAAATTTTTTATTATTAATATTTATAAAATTTATATATAATTTTTTAAAATAAATTGTAATTTTACCTTATTTTATTTCAAATTAAACATTTGTTATTTTTACTCATAATTTTATAAATTTCTGCCAAATTATTATAAATTCTTGTATCCAATTTATGTTTGTAAATTACTTTTTTTAAAAGGATAAATAGTATGAGAATCAACCGAGAGATACGTTGTTAGTTTTTGTAGCTAGACCTATCTTAGTAATTTGATTTATTTATCTTGTAAAATTTGTTAAGAATAATATGCATATAAAAAAAATAATTTTTTAATAAAACAATCATGAGAATAAATTGTGATGTGCTATCAAATATCATGTATATAGTTGAGAAAAAATGATTTGGACTCCTACAGGAAGCCACTCCCACGACCCTTTTTGGCTATGATTGGCTATTTTTTTTGTTTTTTTTTTCTTCTCCTTTAATCACCAGCCCCACATGTATGTGGAGATGGTGGAAGTGATTATTAGAGAGGGTCTCAATCACTTTTGATAATTGAGTACATTTTTTTAATTTTTATTTTTATTTTTAAGAACACATGCAAATCATAATTGGAATGTAGGAAGATCTTGAAACCTCATGGAGTCAAAGGACAAAACCCCAAAAGAAAATAAAAGAAGGAATAGAATCAAAAGATGATCTATATTTACGTGTCTTGTCTTACCAGGCCATGTGTCACTACCCAGACCTATACATATGTATTTGCATATGCATATATATTTTAGAGGGATCATACCTAGGCTTTGTGAGGTTTGGTGGGTTTATTTTTGGAAGTTTATCCGATTTGGATTATTTATTTTTTAAAATTTATTTATAAAAAAATTAAATTAATTAGATATGAATAAAAATATGATTCTATTATAAATGTGTTAGAAAATTTTAAAAAATTATTTTCAAAGTCACATATGTTGTTTGATTATTTTTAAGACATTTATTCGTTCGTATGATTGTCAATATTCGATAAATTTGATTTATTTTGGAAGAGGATTCCCTTCCCTCCAACAATTCATAATCTAAATTGAAGAGTGTTGTTTGGATCCGTAGAGCTTAGCATGAGTTCCGTTTTAATGATTTAAATTGTTTATCAGACACTTTGTGTATTTCATCCATATAAAAAATTAAACCGATCTAATAAATGTAGTCTATTCAATTCATCATATTTGACACAAAAAAATGAATGATAATTGTATTTTTTATATATATTTTTTGTAACAAACGCAATAAATTAAATAAATTATAATTATTGAATTGACCTAATTTTTTTTGAATAAAATACACAAAATGCCTAGATTTTGAACGGAAGGGAATCTACCTTCATTTATTTTCATAAATAATCAGTTTGGCAAATTCTACATGTTAAACGATTCAAATCATCTTAATGATTTTGAAGTAGGCCCAAACAAAATCTATCATTTTTTTTAACACAAAAATAGATACTTATGTTGTGCTTGGTTGAGGGATTTGGGGAGGGATTTGGAAAGAAAAAGGGAAAAGGTGTGTGAAACTAGGTAAAATGCAGATATATTTTATTCACATTTCACCTAACTTTTCATTTTTTCTTTCCAAATTCCTCCTCAAATCCTCCAACCAAACACAGCGTTAGCAATATAAGAAGAAACTTCAAGACATCACCAAAAAAAAAATGGTCAGACCAAACGTGTTCCCTTTATAATAATACTAACAAAAAAATAGAAAAATAAACAGTTGATAGTATAAGGAGGGATGGTTTCAAGATACCATTAAATGTGTTTATTTTATAATAATACTAGTAGTTGATACACGCAACACGTATGTAGATTAAATAAATAAAAATAAAAATAAAATAAAATATATATTATATGGTGTCCGCCACTTAAGTCTACTTCTCCCATCTATCCATTTTTTTAAAAATTAAAAATAGATACATAACAACATAAGTTTCACGACACCACCAACATTGTTCACTTAAAATAAACACTTGACATCATAAAAGGAGAAGATTTCAGGAATCTAACAAAAGCGTTCACTTTATAAATGTATAAATAAATAAATAGATAGATAAAACAATGCTTCAATAATTTTTGATAGAAAAATAATATACAAATATATTTTATAGACCCATTTTCTAGACTTAATAATGTGTATAGTGATATAAATAATTGATGATTGAGAAGATATGAGAAAAAATATTACCTTAAATATGTTACATTATTAAATTTTAAAATTGAGTCTAATTTTTAAATTTAGATAATCATGTCCTTTTTTGGTACTGAGGCAGTACAATTTAAGGGTCCATAATTTTGGGCACAGAGAGACAAGTACCGGGAATGACCGGTGAGTGTTTGGTCTTGTTTTGCAGACTGCTTTCAATTTTCTTGCAGAAGGTGTTAACCTGCTGATGCAGCGGTCGGTTGTCATGGCTGTGTTTTTTTGTTTTTGGGTTTGCTTTGGCATTGTGTGGGCAATTGCTTTGCTTTAATATATATCTTTAACCAGGGTTGTGTTGTGTTGTGATGTGTTGTTGTTATGTCACTTTGCTTTATTCCTCTCAGGGGTTAACCTGTCTCTTTAAGCAAAGAAATATATGCCTAGAATGATGAGACAATACAACAACATTCATGGAGTAATTGTTTGGTAATAAGTCATCTATGGCTTTGTTTAATTGTCTTACTATTTGGGGATAATGGAATAGAGGGTGTAAAAGTTATAGTTTGATCTGAAAATTTATGGACTAATTTAGGTTCGTTTTACCATTAGCTTATTCATGAGTCTCGAGAACTCGTCAAAAAATATGAAAAAATGAAGTTTTTTTAAATAAAATATAGGTCTTAAATTTCGGTATACTGACTCATCTGTGCCTGTTAGTCCGTTATAGTAAGGCTTAGGCCTAAGGTTTTGGTCCACGTGCTAGTATGACCCAAGCCCATTGGAAAAAAGTTTGATGGGCTTAGGCTTTATTTTTGCAACCTAGCCTAACTCAGCTTGATGACAACGCTTCACTAGTCATATTTAAAAACTAATTTGTGTGATTATAAAACAATAGTAAAAGAGCATCATGGTCCAATATGTTTTTTAATTTGACATTTGTTCTGCAACTGTATAAATTTAAATAAATTATTTGAGAAATTAAATGGAAGAAAATGAGAGATTAAGTAATATCATAGAGATTGTGATATTAGAGAGATTAAATAGAAGAAAACATACCAATCTAGATTGTGATATTAAATTTAAATATAAGAAAATATGGCTATGTGGGTGTATAAAATGGCCATGCTGTCACTTTGTTAATATGTAAGGAGCTAACCTTTGTCTAAAGGATGTTTGTGTCACCTGAAATGTTGTGTCACATGAAATCCAAGATCTTATCAAGCAAGAAAAGCATAGTCAAGGTCCAAAGCTAACTTTTCTTGTTCATTCATCATGATCTCCCTCTCCCACTTGTTGGTTCAGTTTGGAAATTGAAAGTTCAAAAATCATATTTCATGTTCATTGTCATGGTCTGATCTCTGCCACTTCATGGTTCAATTTGAAAGCTGAAAGTTCAAAATTATTCACTTTAATTACACAAATTTTCTATTACTTACACCCTTTTTTTTTTTTTTTTTTTAATCTCCTGCCTATGGAGATAGCAAAGCAAGAGCCTGATCAATAATGTAAGAGAGAGCGATGTTATCTATTTAGAAAAAAATATTTAGAAGATAATAAGTTTAAATTTAAAATTAAATTTCTCTCCGGTTCAAATTTAAAATTGAGAGAGTTGTATTGATCTCTAAGACTCACCACAGATAAAGTTTTGATGATTCAAATTATTCATTTTATAAAACTTCCATACAAATTATTTTAAAAAAAATTAAATCGATTTAATACAGATTTACCCTTAATGAATAACATACAGTTTTCTTTTTTTAGACACATTTCTAAATATATATATTCCATATCACATTCCAAAAGAAAAAATAAATACAATAATAATATGGCATCAACGGTCTAATGATAATCATTATATAGACATAACAAATCCCACTTTAAATGTAATAATTACTAAATTCTGTTAAATTTAATAATTATATGTGGATGTAAGCAAACATCAAGAAGTATTAGCCTCCGTTTGGGAAGTGAGTTAGTTTTTTGATTTTTTAGCTTTTTTAACTATTTTAACCTAGGCTAAAAAACTTAGTTTGGAAAGAATTTTTTGACTTTTTGGCTTTTTAAACTTTTTTTTGTGAGAGAAGAGTGTAATGATTATGAGTTGGATGTGATATTTTGTTTGTTGTGGCTAAAATAGCCTATTTTATCTTTTGTAACTAAAATAGCCCCAAACCTCCTTGCCAAACGGAGCCTTATTGATATTGGGAAAACTACATTACAGTGATGTTAGTAAAAATTAATTACAAATACATAATAAATATTATAAATATAGAAAAAAAAAAAAAAAAAAAAGGGTAAACGACGTCGTTGCCTTGCACCGTAGGATGGGCTGCAGGAAAACCCTGCAGAGGATCCGGACTCCAGTGGTTTTCCCTTAATATTGGATACTTGGGAGTCGGGATGGTAGGATTTCGTTTTTTTTTTTTTTTTTTGAAGTTATCAATGTTCTAATTGTGTGCATCGAGAAGAAAATTTAATCTGTTTGGTGTGAAATTTTAAAATTTAGAAGTTAAAAATTGATATTAGAACTAGACATATCCTTATTTAACTTCTCAATAATGAATTTTTAAAATTTACTTAAATTATTTTTATCTCATAAATTATAATAAAAGTTGACACAAAATTTTTAAATAAATAAATAAATATATATATAGTTTTTAAGTATCCCATAAACTAGTCAAATATAAAAATATTAGTTTAATTCCACGAGCACTACGTGACTATATCTCTCACCAATCACAATTCATCACGTGCTCTCAATGTTTCTCAAAACACTCAAAATAAATTTGTGAACCCCACCCCCTCTATCAATTACAACACCATTAAAGTACCATGCGATGGTACCCCAAGACTAACTAATAACTTTTCAAACATGATCATTGTCCATTTAAATACAGGCCACTTTTTCCCTACAAATTAATTTTTTGAAAAAAAAATAAAATATATATATTTATATATATATATATGTAACTTCAAAACATATAATGAGTCATAATCAAATACTATGTAAGGTTTAATTAAAAATATTTTTGATCATAATTAAAATAATAATCACAATCAATTTAAGTGATTACCCAAAATAATGTGTGTATTATAAAATTTCTCAACATATATATAAAGGCTAGGGGTAACATAAAAAGTAGAACATTAGACTTTGTTCTAATCTTAGGAATGTTGGATTATTCATTCAAGCAAAATAATATTATTATGTACTTTGAAAAGTGGTAATAAAGCCAAAGCTATATTCAAGAGACCATCTACACAAAAGTAGATCTCATCGATCTCAATCCCCAAGTCTTTCCCCACTTCCAATCTTTGATTACATGTTTCCTTAGTAGCTTTTGTGTGATTATCCTCGTTAAAAGAAGAGATCAAGTTTTGACTGTGTTTTAATTTTATTTTCTTTTTAGATTTGATTTCTTTTAAATTATCATTTCTTTTAAATTAGATTTAATAAACCCATTTTGAAATTGATTATAGTAATTTGAACAATTCATTTTTGGACTCGTTGAATAGAATTTTCATACAAAAAAAATAAAGATAATTGAATATCGATAATTATATGTTTAAATCATATTTATTTTTAAAAAAATAAACAACAAATATAATTTCAAAAATAATCATTCATTTTTTGTAATATAAAATTAATCAAACATATAACTACCAATATTCAATCATTTTTCTTTTTTACATGAATATTTTATTCAACGACTCTTAAAATGTGAACGGTTTAAATTATATAAACGTTACCTATAGTGGGCTCCACGAATCTCTCAAATTCTCTCACGTTGACTTGTGAATATGAGATAAACCTAATTCTTTCTTTTTAATATCACAAATTAATTTTGATCATGCAAGGATAAATTCCAATAAACCCCTTAAACTATGACTCGCCTAAAACCTCATTCATCTTGAAATAATTTTTATATGCGGATAGGATATATGTTATCTTGACATTTAAATATGCTCTTATGACTACTTGAGCAATTGCTCGAGGTCATTCTTGAGATACTTGATAAGATGTATCTAATAGTGTATTAATTTATTTTGAGTTTAATAATTTTTTAAAAATAATGCTATATGCATAAATTGGTATATTAATTATTTTATTGACGGATAATGTGACATAATTTTATTAGTTTTGAGTTTTTGTAATTTATATAATGAGTAGAGTCATAATTTTTAAATGACAATGTCATAACAATGTTGGTATACTAATTAGTATACCAATTGGTACTTGTTGCACTACTATTTTTTTAAATTTAACTTGTTAGTATGTATTTGCGGTGGTGTTACACATACTAATTAGTGTGCTAACTAGTATATCAATTGATCAATTGATGATGTGACATAATTTATACACGAATTAGTATACTAATTGATGCATATAATATTATTCGTGTATTTAATGTTTATATTAACTTGATATTTTTAATCTATTAATTAAATTAAATACATTTAATAACTTTTTATTTTTAATTTATTAAATTGAACAAGTCTCAAGACTTAGGGGTTGTTTGGGATGACCTAAATAAGTGCACTTTTTGTCTTTTTACAAAAAAATATGCAAAAAAGTAGAGAGGTGATGTGATGAAAAAAAGATAAAAAGATGAATTATTTTTAAGTTACCAAACTTAGCCTTATTAAAATAAAATAAAAAGTAGTATTAATGTCCCGTACTTGCTAGCATGATAATTTTCTTTTAAAATATGATAGATTCCATGGATACTAGCAGCATATGTGCGTGCGCTGTAGGGCTTAAGGAAAAAAAAATTAAAATTAAATTATAAATGACGAATTGACAAATGTGATATATAAACTAATTAGTTAATTAAAGAATAACTTTAATTAATTATTAAATATTTGTATAATATATAATATTAATTTATATAATATTATATATATATATATATATATATAAACTAATTTACATAATATTTTTCATTTATATAACACTAATTTACATCAAATTTTATATCTCAATGTTTCTCATATTAATTTTTATTTTGTTATTCTATCAAAAGTAAAAAAACATAGATGTATTAATTACGGCAGGATGGGACAGTTTGAAAAATAAGTTATAAATTTTATATTATGAATCAAACTAAATGGCTCAATATGAATTGAGTGATTTTAACGAATTAAAATTATATTTTACATCGCCGTAAATGCGAGTATCGGGTTGGATTGGTTCCGGGTGAACTCGATTTTATCGGGTCGGATCCGGGTAAACTCAAAAAACCATTCGACCCAAACATTTGACAGGCCAAAACTTTCCTGGCATCCAAACAGATGCAGCAAAACCCTGTCTCCAGACCTGGAGGCATCATCCATAACCTCCAATAGATGGAACTTCCAATGGTAATAAATTCAGACAATGGTGGTTGTCTCTTCTTCTGCTTCTGCATCATCCAGAAAGGTACTACTTCCTTTACTACTCAAACCCATATTAACCTCTCATTCATTCATATTTTCATCTATCACTCACTACTCTTCACTGTCAAAAACCCTAGTTGACCAAATCACAAGAGCATTTTACCAAGAAAACCTCAAGCTCTTGGATCGCAAAACTCTCTCCAATTTACAATCCCACCATGTGGAACCAATTCTTTTCCATCTCCGCTCCAAACCCAGTTCGGCAATTCGGTTCTTCGAGTGGTCCGAGAATTTTCTAGGGTTTAACCACACACTTGAATCTTTTTGCTGTCTTTCCCATGTTTTGCTCAGCAAGAGACTATTCGATCCTGCTAAGCGGGTTTTCGATAGAATGGTTGGAAAGTTTGGGGGTTTAGATGTTGTCTCTGTGTTGTGCAAGGGGTTTAAGAATTACGGTTCGAATCCTAGCACAGTGTATAGCTTCGTAGTTGAAAATTATTGTAGAATTGGGATGGTTGATCGATCGTTTGAAGTATTTATTCAAATGTCTGAAATGGGTATTCCATTATCAACATATGCGCTATCAACAATGTTGAGTTCTTTGGTGGATTCGCAGCGTATTGACTATATTTTGGATGTCTATGGAAAAATGGGTAATGGTCAGAGAGAAGAGCAGAGCGGGTGTTTGAACGTGTATGATTTTGTAATTAATGGTTTTTTCATGAAGGGTGAGGTTGAAATGGGTTTAAATTTTCACCAGGCAATGATTGAGAGAGGGTTTATGCTTGACATTGTTGCTTGCAATAAGATTCTAAAGAGACTTTGTAAAGGTAATTGTATAGGAGTTGCTTCCAATTACTTTTCCTTGATAGCAAAGATAGGTCCAAAACCAAGTTTGGTGACATTTAGCACATTGATTAATGGGTATTGTAAAGAGTTAAGACTGGAGGAGGCATTTGATCTTTACAATCTTATGACAAGGATGGGTATAGCTCCTGATCTAATTATTTATAGTATTCTCATTGATGGACTCTTCAGGGTAGGGAAGTTAGATGAGGGACTTTGTCTTCTCTTGGCTGCATTGGACAGAGGCATGACATTAGATGTGGTGGTTTTTAGCTCCGTGATCAATGCGTATGTGAGAATTGGAGATTTAGAAAAGGGGATTGAAATATATAATAGAATGTTGAAAGAAGGGATTACACCGAGCATTGTCACTTATAGCATACTCATAAACGGTTTGTGTCAAAAGGGTTGGCTTCTTGAAGCTTGTGGTATACTTGGTCAGATTATAAAGCAAGGATTTGAGCCGTCTGTTTTAACTTATAGTAGTCTCATTGATGGCTTCTGCAAATGTGGAAAGTTGAAAGATGGGTTTGATTTGTATGAGGATATGGTAAAGAAGGGCCATACTCCTGATGTCATTGTTTATTGTGTGTTCGTAACTGCTCTTAGCAAACAAGGGCGGATGGTTGATGCTCTTATGTTCTTCTACAGGGCAGTGAAGAGGGGTTTAATACCTAATGTTTTTGTTTTTAACAGCTTAATTGATGGTTGGTGCAGATTGAAACAAATAAAGGATGCTGTAAAGCTATACATCCATATGGGTCTGTATAATATAATTCCAGATGTAGTTACTTATACCGTGCTTATTAAGGGGATTGCTGAGAAAGGGAGACCAGGAGAGGCATTAATTCTGTTCTTCCAGATACTGAAGAGGGGTTTTTCTCCGGATGTTGTAACATATTGTGCTCTCATTGATGGGTTCTGCAATCAAAAGAATTCAGCGGCTGGTTTACAGATTTTTCAGTTGATGCTCAACAATGGAGTAAATCCTGACATCACCATTTATAATGTTCTCATTAACATGTTTTTCAGGGAAGGCCTGTTGAAAAATGCATTGGAACTTTTCCGGAAGGTTCACAAGTGTGGGCCAGAACCTGATATTGTGACGTACAACACTATGATTTGTGGTTACTGCTCTTTGAAAATGTTGAGTGAGGCTGTTCAACTTTACGAAGAGCTGAAACATGGATGGATTAAACCCAATGCCAAAACTTTCACTATCCTGATTGATGCTTTTTGTAAAGAAGGTAGGATGGATGATGCTATGATATTATTCTCCACAATGCTGGAAAAAGGTCCGGAACCTAATGTGGTCACTTATAGTTGTTTAACTGATGGTTATTTCAAATCCTATAACATGAAAAATGCTTTTGAGCTTCATGAAGAGATGTCCCGGAGCAATATATCTCCAAATATTGTGAGTTACAGCATCTTGATTGATGGTCTATGTAAAAGGGGGCTCGTGGAGGAAGCTTCTCTTGCATTCCGTTGTGCTGTAAACCAGCATTTATTGCCTGATGTCATAGCATATGGTATTTTGATTCGTCATTACTGCAAGGTTGGAAGATTAGCGGATGCTATGATGTTGTATAACCGTATGCTGGAAGACGGCATAATGCCAGATAGTCTTTTACGAGGTGCACTTGCAGAGTACCATCTTCAAAATGGTCAGAGAAAAGAATATATGCTTGAGTGATTGATCTACAATGCTACCAAGAGGTTTTCAGGCTCACTTTATGTGACTTCCAATTGCTTCTTTGATGAGATGTTTCTGATTCAAATCAAAATTGAGCAGTTGACTAAAACAGATGTGAAGGAGGATGAATGTTGTCTTTAATGGCCAAAGCGTCATTACTGCAAGGTTGGAAGATTAGCGGATGCTATGATGTTGTATAACCGTATGCTGGAAGACGGCATAATGCCAGATAGTCTTTTACGAGGTGCACTTGCAGAGTACCATCTTCAAAATGGTCAGAGAAAAGAATATATGCTCGAGTGATTGATCTACAATGCTACCAAGAGGTTTTCAGGCTCACTTTATGTGACTTCCAATTGCTTAAGTATGTCAAGTTTTGCTTTTCGCAATTGTTTGGTGAAAATGTGGTGAATCAAATGACGGGTCAAGTGAAAGATTGTTTTGACTCATTTGTAGGAGCATTACGTTGCAAATTATTCAAGTTCTGTGGAAGTGCCTAATGCAAGTAATGCAAGTGATGCATCAGGGATGGTGATTGATGATGATTGTGACAATCCTTATTTGCTCATATAGCATCTTAATTTAGTACCTATTTGGATGTTGAATACTCCATCATGGGCAACTTAGAAGTGGACAAGTACTTAGGCTTTGTTTGGAAAGTTGGCTATTTTAGTAGGTTATTTTAGTTTTTGATTATTTTAGTAAGCTAAAATTTTTTTGTTTGGAAGATGGATTTTTTTGTAGTTTGATGTGATATTTGTAAGAGAAAAAGTGAAATGATTATGAGTTTGATGTAACATTTTGTCTTATTTTTAGCCTATTTTGTCTTTTTGTTGATTTTAACCTAAAAGCCCAATTGTAGCCTTTGGCAAACAAGGCCTTAGTTGACTTTTGTGAAGGAGAGACCTGAGAAATTTGATATATTGGGGTTGTGGAAGGCAAATTCATCAAAGTATCGTGTGTTGTCCCAATTGGCTCGTGATGTATTAGCCATGTCCGTCTCAACAGTTGCTTTAGAGTCGGCATTTAGTATGGGAGGACGCATATTTGATCTTGTTCGCAGTTCACTCTCTCCTATGATGGTGGAGGTACTTGTTTGTGCACAAAAATGGATGAAGTAGAAGAATTTGAACAATATGTTTCAGGTAATATTTGATTATTACTTTGCAACTTTGTATAACCTTTTGAATTAACTTGCAATTATGTTTTTAACTATTACTTTTTTTTTAGCTTTTCCAGAATCAGGCTCATCCTCAAACCCATGTTCAAGTACAATTAGGCCATGTTTGATTCACAACACTAATAGTGAAGTATTAATAATCCCATCAAATTAGTGTGGTATTAACTACCCCATCCCTACCCCATTACTAATAATCCTACAAATTTGTTGGATTAATTATCCATTGGATTAATAATCCTAAACCAAAATGTCAAAACAAACTTAGGATGATTGGGCCCACGGATTAATAATCCTAATCCCATGCTTTAATCCTTCCAATCAAACATGCCATTATTGTCTAGTATGAAGATGGATATAATTGCTTGGTAAAGTTGTGTTTTGTTCAACTTATATTCTGCAATCTGCACATTTCAAGTTCCCATCTTTGTTTTCTGTTTTCAACTTATATTCTACACATTTCTATTACTACGTATATTCTGCAGTGCACATTTCTTTTTTACGTTATTGTTTTCAATTTATTTATTCTTTATCCTTACAGGTGGCTGTTGATACCACAATCTTCCTTTGGCGGACTGTTGATATTACAACCTTTTGTTTACTTAATTAATGTCTATCCTTTTTCTCTAGGAATTTCTTTATATCCTCTATTAAGTAGTAATTTCGGTTCAGTTTAGTTTGTAGGTGGATGAATGTAATAACTCCTACCTAGCAGGTCTGTTTTTGAATTTGGTGTGGTTGGCAATCAAATTGGCAGGTGTTACAGTGCTGAGGCCATTTTTTTTTTCTGTGATTTGTTTCGGAGTGCTCTGAATTTTTTATGCCATTGTCACTTGCCAAGCCTTGATAGTTTGATCTAGATGTTCTTAAAGGGTTTAGATATTGGTTTAAACATGTTTCCAAGCCTTGATTGTTGGAGATTGCATAATAATGTTTAACTCTGGATGTGGATGGTTTGGAATTTGAAGGATTTAAATGGGCTTTTCATGCATTTTTGTTGATCTTGATGCTCTTTTATTGCTTTTTAAGTTGTGTGTGTGTGGAGGAACTGTTGTTTTGGGCTTTAAATGTGCTAAGTAAGAGTATCTCTAATGGTTCATCAGATTTTTCATCAAATCTAAGTAAAAAAAAAAAAATGACTTCCTCTATTTGATGTCACCTGCTCCAACAGAGAAATTTAGCTTTTCATGAAACTAACAGTCGATCAGGCAGACGACCAGCCAATGCAAAAAATGAAAAACTAAGAAAACAAAAAGGTGATCGACTGTTTAGTGTAAAATTTTCATAAAATTTTGCTTAAGATGGTCATCCAAGAGGATGTCTTGCCGGTTGTCCGGTGGGACCCATCTCTAACATAAACGCACAATATTTTGATAAAATTCACTCCGCTTCTCATTTTGGTAAAACTTTTGATGAATTTTCAATTTGATATCCGTTTAATAAAATTGTTGAAACTATAAAAGTGATATTTTTTTGCCAAATTTAAATTTAATGGTGAATTTGATTCACCATTAGAGGCGGTGTAATGGATTGTAATTTGATGCCAATGCTTAGAAATAGTGCATTTCAAGCTTTCAAGCCTGTTAGTCTTTTTGTTAAACGGGGAATTAAATGAAAAATGACTTGTTGAATGAAAAATGGCCTGTTAGTACAAAATTAAGGTTGCTAAGGCCCAAACAAAAAAATAAATTGGGTATAATTTTAAAGCGCAAACTAAAATTAAAATGTCCTATAACACAAAATGGGCATTTATTTTGTGTGACAACTCAAAACTACACTATAGTAACTGCTGCTTTAATGTGAACCGAGAAACAATTTTATCTTTTTTGCTTTTCTTTGTTTTATGATCACAAAGATTGGCTTGAATTATAAACCTATTGATTTGTCTTGAAATTCACAAGTTGTCTTACAGTAATTTGTACTTAAAATATATAAAAAAGAAAAAGAAGTAGCCAAATTACATCACATTTCACCTCCACCCAATCCCTAGATTGTCGTTTCTGTCAGAGACACTGATTCCTAGCAAAACACACAAGTCACTGCAGAAGATGATTGTCAAAATTTATTCCTTTTAAGCCCATGACCCGTGGACATTAACTGCTTTTGTTACTGCAAATTTCATAAATAATTACATGGGACCGAAAACTGAAAGCCGAAGTGATGTGTATGTATGTGTGGCATATTAGTCAAATGAATTTATTATGTTTAAGCAAGTTCAGATTAGAAATCTTATGAAAGAAAGAATCAGAAAAACATAAGAAAAAACCACCCAAGTAGAAGCAAGAAAGAACATTCCTGTGATGGAGGGGAAAAGACAGTGAAGTTTATAATGTGTCGTTCTTACCATCAGTTAATATTTATTAATCTAGCCCAATCCTCTAAAAGGCCTGAGCAAATAAAAAATAAGCAAGGATTAGAGACTATATGTGTTATGTTACGTTGAAACTAACTGAAACATACATACATATGCTAACTAAAATTTTTGCTAAGCTAATTTTTTCACATAATGCATCAAGTAGATCGCTCTGAAAAACTGGTAACATCTCCTGGTATACAAAAATAATTCAAGCAGTTTCCAATCTCATCATGCTGAATACTTACATTCAAGTGGCTGATGAATTTCAGATTCTTTTATTTAATGCTTGATTTTTTTATTTTTTCCTTATTACCAAATTTTATGAGATTGTTATCATATGAATTTCCATCTAACGAGTAATACCTTCAGTCCTATATAAAGCAGAAATTTGTGGATTGAAACCCAACAAATATCTAGGCACAAGAGAGAATCAATTAAGGCACGGCAATGTTTTGATATACTAAATGAAAGGTGACCCTAGGTCCTAGCGCATAGTAATCCAGCAATTCATAAAAAATAATATCAACCTTCAGTCACCCCGAGTAGCAGCACAATAAGGCTGGTTACACTGCAGATGATGAAATCCCATAACGGCTTCGAAGAACATCAAGGGCTTTCTCAAATGACTGTGAGAGCTCAGGAATGGATGTTTTGCATGCTGAAAATAAAAATCAAGGAAAAAAAAATTTTCATTAAAATAATCATATGACGATTAGCAATTTGCTGACACAGATTTTTATCCCTTGTCTGATGGCATTTTATTTTCATTTGCAGTCTTAGAATTTCAATGCGGTCAAGCTGATTCTGATGCTATTCTGCAGGAATTCTATTATATTTGTAACACACAGGCACACACTTGCACAATATGCATGGGAGAATTGAGTGATCCAAACACATTACCAGAATGCATGGTACTGGTACCACACCAAATGTACAAATAAAAACAATTGGACCTAACTTCCGTCAACAGGACACACTACTCATACTAGACTGAAAAATATCCCAAATGCTTGTCTTGTGGTCTTGCTTTTTGTGAAAAATAATCAACACATCAGATAATTATAACAAATGTTAGTTCCTAAACGAGAACAACCATTGCACATAATCTACTAGCTGAAGAGTCTCAAACCACGTTAACTTCCAGAGTTACTTATACATCGTAACTATAGGTTATATAAGCATCTGCTCATGCTGCTCTTAAGGTAAAGTCAAACATACCACGGGATGCACTGGCTTGTGCTTCTGCCAAGAACCCTAAGTATGAAGCCTGAAAACAAATCATCAGCGTACAGGGGTGAAATTGGCAAAGTGGAATTATTAAGAAAATTGAACTTAGTTTTTTGTTGCATATGATGAGAATAGAAGTAACCTTCATTGCTTCCCTACTTTCACTGATTCGTTCAGACATTTTCTTATACTCCTTCTCTGCTTCATCGGTCACTTGTTGGCATGCTTGTGTCTGAATCTATTATTTATACAAAAAAAGGAGAAAAGAAAGAGAGAGCCTCAAAATTAGTTTATTAAGACCTGAGGGCAGGATTTCACTAATTGGTTTACAGTTTCAAATGATGTACACTTCCTCTTGCTGAAAGAAAAGTAGGGGGTGTCAAACGAAAAATAAAAGGGTAATGTTTTCACTTATCATAAGGGTAAAACCTCAAAATAAATAAATGTTCACAGAAATCCTCAGAATAAAAATAACAAACATGAAACAATGGTACCTAAAAGCAGGCCAATAAAGGAATTAAACCATTTTGTCGTTGCTATCCACAAATAATGCACAAAACAACTGGATAATGTATAAAGATCCCCAAATAACTTTGTCAAAGTTTATGGAAGCTTTTAGAAACATAAATACCATTGTGATCCATCACTTCCCTTGCTTATCAAAAGCCATACGAATGAATAATTGTGATGTAATCTCTGTGAACCAGGATCTGGTTCATCATAGCCAAATAACTACATATAAGGCACATAAGAAAATTCCTTTATAGGCTCTTTGAGCTTATCTTTTATGTTGTTCTATTACAAGCGTGTAATGTAGGCAGCGATATCATCATTAAGGATGAGTTAGAAAGTGTTTTATTTTTATACTGCAATTAGTACTACAAGACATATAAATGAAACAGGGTAACTAGCAGATTCCCATTTCCCACACATGACATGTAAAAAATAGTATTCTATCCAGTCATGTCAACACAAATTTTGGCAAATCCCAGACCATCAGCCATAACTACACCATAGAGGCTGTGAATAAAGCAGATCAAGTTATCCAGCATGAGAAAGATTTTAGTATCATAAGCCACAAGTCATCATGTTTAATGAACAAGAGCCTGGTTACTGTTTAATTAACTTGCCCGCTAAGGCTGTGTTTGATTCATAGACTTGGGAAGCAATTTAGAAAGGAAAAAGAAAAAGGTATGTGAAATATAGATGAAATCTAATTATATTTCATTAACATTTCACTTGCCGTTTCCCTTTTCCTTTCCAAATCTCTCTCCAAATCCATAAACCAAACACAGCCTAAATGATTTGAAATCAATCAATCCTCCACAGGCTTCATGGATTTAAGTGCAGTGCATGAAGTGTAGCTGATCTAATTACAATATATTATCCTCTTTCCCGACTTCTCATGTTGCAATGGTGTTTCAAGTTTTAGATACAGAATCTAATTAATCACGGTGACTGTCAGCTACATAGCAATAGATGAAAAGGGAAGGGACAAATTTAGCAAAACCAATAATTTCAGCAGATAATGGTAATATTTAGGAATGCATACTTATTGACTGTGGATTGTAAGCAATCAAACATCAGATAGCAATAATGACTAACTCTAATGCTGCCAGATATCAAAATATGATTATAAGAAAGAGAAAAATCGGCGTTGATCTATCATAATAAACCAAATCTGGACTGTCAAAAACACATAAATCAGAAAGAAATCAGTGTACATCAAAACACATCATCTGATTCTAAATTAGCTACACTAATCAGATAGAACTAAGGCACAATTTCTAGTGAGAGAGAGAGAGAGAGAGAGACCTTGAATCGTTTGTGGAGACGAGACTGAGAGGCCTCCATGTCCTTGAGGATCTCCGAGTGCGAACGATCGAGCTGGCGCTTGATGGAGTCCAGGCGCGAAGAGGCCAGTTCCTTCAGATCAGAGATCGTACTCAGGCTTTTCAGATGTGGTGGTGATGCGGTAGGCTGGATCAGGACAGAGCTTGATGCTACATCGTTCTTCTTCTTCTTGGAAGATGAGGTAGTGTTGAAGGCACCGAGATTGAATTCGAAATGCTTCGGAGATTCGCTCGAAGATCGATTAGGGCTTGTGATAGTCGGAGGCGAAACCAGAAGGTCCGCCACAGAAGACTTCCTCGTCGATCTCTTCTTCATCTCTCTCTCTTCAATCTGAACGAAGTTCGAGAGCGAAAATGCGGTGTGATTCAAGTTTTTTGATATTTATAGTGGCGGGTTTTTCAAATTTATAGAGTTTAGTTTTGCGAGGGAATGTTTCCATGAATAGGATATTCATCTCATTCATTAATTTTTTTAATTTAATTTAGGCTAAGTTTAGATACTTTCAAAAAAGTCAAAAAGTCAAAAAGTTAAAAAGTCAAAAAGTTACTCAAAAAGTTAAAAAGTTAACACTATTCACCAAAAGTCAACAATTACGGCTGCACAACTCTCAATTCAAATTTTTTCCTACAAATCAATTTTTACACTTTTTTATTACACATTTTTCAATAAAAAGTCAAAAAGTTAACCCAAACATCCATATTTTCAACCTCAACTTTTTAGTCCAAAAAGACAAAAAGTGTAATTTTTTAGTCTTCCCAAACTTGGCCTTAATTTTAAAATATGAGCAGAAGTCAATGAAAAATGAACCAAATAACTCGAGTTCAACTGGTTAAAAACTCATTTGAGCTCATTTGATAAATAAATAAGTAAAACTTGAATATATTTTAAAATTCATTAAGATTTTCAAATTAAGTTTGAACAGTCAATTGTTTATTCGATTTGGCTCAATAATTTCAAAATTATATAAAATATTAAACTATTTAAGATCGACTCGATAAAAGTTCATTTGAGATTGGCTCAAAAGTTTAACGAATCAAATTTGAACAAATTTTAAAACTTATCAAAATTATCAAATCAAACTTAAACAATTAATTGTTCGACTCGTTTATCACTTTTACTTGTAATCAAATAAATCATTAATTTTTAGTTTTGTCACTTTAAACTCTAAATTTGAACAATTTACCTAATTTCATTAACTAAATTAGACACACAAAAAAAAAATAGTCATTAAACTCAATAAAAACAAATATTTTAGATATTTTATGTATACTTATATTAAGTTTAATGACTAAAAAACTATTTTTCTATCAATTTTAGTTAACAAAAATAGACAAATAATTTAAATTGAAGGGAAATTCTATAATACACACCTCTAAGTGTGTACTATATGCACTTTTAGTTACAACCTTTGCGTGCTTAGTTATGACTTATTGTATTATTGGTTATGACATATTATGTTGTTAGTTATAACATTATTTTAGTTATAATTCAAGAGTTGCTTGATTATAACTTTTTTCTTTTAGTTATAACTTTTATAGTATTAAGTTATTCCATAGGCTATTTACAAGGAGCCTCTCTAAACTATTGAGAAGTATCACTTTGACCCCTTAAACTTTAAAAACATACAAATAGATCCCTGAAACTATTGAGAAGTATCACTTTGCTTCCTTAAACTATAAAAACGTATAAATAGATCCTCTAAACTATTGGCGTTTGATCTCTTCTGTCAACAATTCAATTAGTATGTTTTTATAATTTAGAGGGTCAAATTGATATTTCTCAATAGTTTAGGGGGTCTTAGGGTAAACAATTCTTATCTCATTTGTGATAATTAAACTCACAAATGACATGACTTGCATATATACCATACTATTTTCCTAAATTGAAACAAATAAAAAAATTAATATTTAAATTGATAAAATTTAAAATTTATTCATTGTCGTCTATTTGTTGGGTCTTACTAGATTTGAAAATTGATTAATATTGATTTTTTTTTTATGTTAAAAAAGCATTAATGTATTCATATAGTTAGATTACAAATTCATCACGGCGCCATCAGTTCCAAGCCCTAACCTCTCACTCATTACACCTTACGATATGACTAGTACATCATTAGACCACACCAAATGTCAATTGATTCATATTGATTGTCTCCTTGTTTTTTGGATTTTTGGAGATGGCTTCAAAAATTTGTAAAAGTAGGCTGAATACACGTTGAAAATACGTTTACTCGGTCATCCTTCCAAACGTCCCTTTTGATGTCTGATCGATCGTTTGGCCGATTGACCGGAACATTATTCATGTTTTTTTTTGGGCACATGTTAGATTTCACACCCACGGTTGAAAACACGTTTACTCGGTTATCCTCCCGAACGTCCCTCCTGACGTCTGACCAATCGTCTGACCGATTGACCGAAACAGTATTTGTGTTTTTTTTTTTGCACATGTTATTTTTATATTTTAAATAAAAAATATTTTTGAAATTTTTTTATAAGTTTTGAATAGAATTTTGAGTTGTGTATTTGGTTATGAGTTATAAGTTTTTTAATCAAATATCATATATCACATCAAAAATTTCAAACTCAATTCAACTCACATTTAAACAAATTTTTCTTACTCAAATCATAATTTTAAAACTCATAAATTCAAAATACAATTTTAATATCAAATCATAATTTTAAAATTCTATCAAACGCTACATTACATATATTCATCTTTCTTCAATTTCAATCTTTTTCTATTTTGTACCCACGAATTCAATCCGATAATCCGAATCTGTTTACAAAAAATCCGATCCGATAATCCGATAATCCGAATCCGTTTAATCCGTTTATTAAACGGATTGAATATGCAAAAATCCGATCCGATCCGATAATTCGATCCGATTATTCTCAATTTGAATGCCCCCCCCCCCCCCATAAAAAATAAAAATAAAAAAATCAAATCTGGGTCTTGCTTATTCTTCATAATTCTGATAATTTTTTGCAAGTTAAGATATCCAAAAATGTGGCAAGAACACAGGGGAATGGTGATTGGTGGCACCATGTTTAGACCATGGTTCTTTCTATGTGTTGTGCTTCTATTTGTGTCATCCAAGCCCTGCTTTTCAATTGGAAGCGACACACTTTCAGCAGCCCAGCGTCTCTCAGGGAGCCAAACTTTAGTATCTCAGGGAAGCATTTATGAGCTGGGTTTCTTCAGACCGGGTAATTCCCTTAACGTTTACCTTGGCATTTGGTTTAAGAACTTTGCTGAACGGATAGAAGTTTGGGTAGCAAACAGAGACAAACCACTGTCAGATCCATCTTCTTTGAAACTTGGATTGTCAGAGGATGGTAATTTAGTCCTGCTCGACAGTTTATCAAAAACTCTGATTTGGACTACGAATTTGGTATCACCACCAATATCTAACTCTACTGAAGCTGTCCTTCTTGATGATGGAAATTTCATATTAAGGAATGGTTCGGAGCCATCTACTATATATTGGCAGAGTTTTGATCACCCAACCGACACGTGGATGCCCGGTGCAAAGCTTGGCATCAATAAACTCACTGGCAAAACCCAACTCCTCACTTCGTGGAAAAATTCAGAAGATCCAGCTCCTGGGAGGTTCTCACTTCAGGTAGACCCAAATGGAAGCAGTCAATTTTTTATGGTGTGGAACATGTCCAGAATATATTGGACTAGTGGAGTCTGGAATGGTCAGAGGTTTAGCTTAGTTCCTGAAATGGGGTCAAACGACATTTTCAATTTCAGTTTTATCTCAAATGAAAGAGAGACCTATTTTACCTACTCTCTTTATAATAGTTCTGTACTATCAAGACTTGTAATGGAGCAGACAGGGCAGATTACGCTGCGACTATGGTTAGCAAATTTATGGAATTGGAAATTCTTCCAGGCTTCACCGGCAGACCAATCCGCAGTATATGCTTTTTGCGGGGCATTTGGAATCTTTAATGTTACATCCTTAACCCATTGTGCATGTTTGCCAGGTTTCGTTCCACTTTCACCTAATGAGACGCAGCGGTTAAATGACTGGTCAGGCGGTTGTGTGAGGAAAACCCGTTTGCAGTGTGAAAGTAATATTTCCAACAGGAAAAATGATGGGTTTCGGAAAATTTCAATTTTGAAATTACCACCAGCAAATTCAAAAGCATATCCTGCTAGGAATGGTAAACAGTGTGCATCAGCTTGCAGCCTGAATTGTTCTTGCACAGCTTATGCTTATAATGGTAGTGGGTGTTCAATATGGGATGGAGCTTTATTGAATTTACAGCTCTCAGATGGGTCCAACACTACGCAAAATCTCTACATCAAACTTGCTGCTTCTGAGCTTCTAGATGTTGGAGGTATGCCTATGCAATTGCTCAAAGTTAGGGCCTTAGAGAGTTTTCAAAAAAATAAAATAAAATGGAACTGGTAAATTGATCTAGATCTCTATGGTTTGGTTCAGTTTTTTGAGGTTCTGGTTCCAATAAGAACTGTTGATTAAGGCTGAATGATTGAACCCAACGAACTGTTTTCTTTTTATTATATGTATTAATTTTAATATTTATAACACAAGGGTGTCATGCAAGGTGGTTGCTCTTCTTCTTATTGGGGTTTCTTGAATCTCAATCTCAATCTCATTTTTACAAATTTTATATTATTAAAATAATATGATGAATTTATTGTGTTTTACACATTTAATAATAGTTTGTTTCAAGAATATTAATTAAGTAAATTCGAAGTAAGTTATGTGATTTTTGGTGGAAAGTTTCTATAGATAATTGGTGAAGTAAGATAGTTTTGATATAATGGTGAATTCTATAGCCTAAAATAGTGAAACTGAGCCCTTTTTTTGCAGTTTGGTTTTTGTTTGGTTCAAAAAGTTTCACAGTTCAATTTAATCCTTGAATTTTTAGAACCATAAAGACTAGTTTGATTCTTGATTCATTTAAAAACTGAATCAAACTGATCTGTAAACACCCTAATCAAAGCGACGTCTACTAGTAATGTAGTCTCTTCCTTTTATTCCAGAAGTACATAGATATAAATATACTAGTTTGTCCTTGAACTTCACGCTAATCATGATTATATTATCAAAATTCAGGGAACAGAAGAAAGTCGTGGGTGATCATAGCGATTCTAGTTCCCCCTGCTATGCTTGTTACATGCTTCTCCCTTTGGCATTTATGGAGGAAAAAGCTCAAACAAAATGGTCTGTTTTTTTCTTGGTTACATCGAAAACAACAAAATGGTATGTATACATGGTTTTAGCCATAGGTTTCAAAGCTCATATTCAAAGAAGTCATTAAATGATAATATAAGGGGAATTGCACAATCAGTAAGAAGTGAGAGTAAGAGTAATGCTACAATAACTATCTATTTGTACTATCTTATTTTTCCATATGATTTGTCAGTCTAGTTGTCATACATTGCATTAGAGATATACATTTTGGAATCAATCGGTAGGAGATTATTTATAAATATAAAGAGAATTACATCAATATGGTGCTATGTAAGAAGTCTAACAATACATACTTACAAGTCCAACTCCAACAAACAACTATATCCATACAAAAAGGAGCCCCATAACGAAGAAAAATAAATAACTAAAGAGAGACTCCTAATAGAGAAGAAATAATCAATCGTTTCCTTGGGCAAAAATCAACTCCCTGACCTCTCAATTGAGTGTACATGAGTGGCCAATTGAGCTAGCATAGTTGATTGAATGCAAACTCCACTTGTATCTCCATATTTTTGCGATTACTTTCATTTCTTTCCACTGATTTGCAATTTCATCATGACTTGCTTGAAGAGTATATTTTAGCCTATGTACAATTTGGTCACTTTGAACTTCTTTTATTTGAAAATTGTTGCGCTTTTCAAAGAAATGATGAAGAGTATATTTTAGCTTGTGTATAATATTGTTGTTTTATGATAAACAGGGGCAAAGTATCCAAGCGAGGATTTGTTGGTATTTGATTTTGATGGTAGTTCTAATGCAACTGATCATGAAACAAATGCTAGATATAATTTGACAAGGGGGAAGAAGAACGATGCTGATTTGCCATTCTTTAGTTTTGCAAGTGTCTCTGCCGCTACCGATGGTTTCTCATCATCCAATAAGCTTGGACAGGGTGGCTTTGGACCTGTTTACAAGGTAAGATTGAATCTGTAGATTGAGAGCTTTAAATTATGACTGTTTAAAGATTTGTCCCATGTCACCTTTCTATGTCACTCAAGTTTGGTTCATATAAGTCTAAAGTCTCTTTACTCATTGCCAATAGTTTTAGGTTGGATGCCCCTAAATTTTTAACATGGTCTTGAAGCTAGGACTTAGTTGATCTCTCGAGCTAATAGTTTTTGAATTGAAAACTTGTCTCACATCCATCTCTATGCCATCTGAAAACCACCAACATCGTTACACCACTAGAAATTACAACCACACCTTCATGTTTTGCATGTTATGTCATGATTTGGCTTCTTTTTTCTTTTTTCTTTTTCCATCCCCCCCTTAGAAATTACAACCACACCTTCATGTTTTGCATGTTATGTCATGATTTGGCTTCTTTTTTCTTTTTTCTTTTTCCATCCCCCCCTCATCTGTCAGCAGTTGGAGATGTTTCTCCATTGTTAGTATTTCTTTAGCTAGTTACATCTCTAATGAGGCAAAGTTCTTTTAATTTTGTCTTTTCCTCTTCTTTTTTTTGCGTGGTTATTTTCATCCAGGGTAAATTACTCAAGGGACAAGAAATAGCAATAAAGAGGCTTTCAGAAAGATCAGGACAAGGGCTTGAGGAGTTCAGAAATGAGATAGTATTGATTGCCAAACTCCAACATCGAAATCTTGTTAGACTCTTGGGTTGTTGCATGGAGCAAGATGAACATATACTAATCTATGAGTACATGATCAATAAAAGTCTTGATTTCTTCCTATTTGGTTAGTTTTTCTCCTCCCATGTTTAATGTTTTGCAAATTATTGAAGTGTTGAAAAACCTTCCCGACAAACTTAAACACAGATCCAAGCAAGCGAGAGATGCTAGATTGGATGACACGCATTCATATAATTGAAGGGATTGCTCAAGGGCTTCTTTACCTGCATCAATATTCAAGGTTGCGCATTATTCATAGAGATCTAAAGGCTAGCAACATTCTTCTAGATGACGAAATGAACCCCAAAATATCAGATTTTGGCATGGCACGCATATTTGGTGGTAATCAGTCACAGGCAAACACAAACCGGATTGTTGGAACTTAGTAAGTGGAAAAACAAAATATCCCATTAAAATTGTTACGTGAAAGCAGTATATGTCAGAAGTTACTAAAAATGTTTTTACTTGCACAATTAAAATTTAGTGGATACATGGCTCCAGAATATGCAATGGACGGCATTTTTTCCATAAAATCCGATGTGTTCAGCTTTGGAGTATTGTTGCTAGAGATTGTGAGTGGGAGGAGGAATACTGGTTTTTATCACAGTAACTCTCTCAATCTTCTTGGACATGTGAGCTAATCAATGAGACCCTTGCCTTCTCATTCCATTTAATTTCTCGCTTTGTGATGTTGAATTTTTGATTATCTTTTAATTGAAATTTCCAGGCATGGGATATGTGGAATGCAGACCGTGGCTTGGACTTGCTCGACCCAGTTGTAAATTGTCCTTCTAGTTTGATGTTGTTGAGATACATCAACGTAGGGCTTCTATGTGTGCAAGAAAATCCAGCTGATCGACCTACTATGTCTTATGTCGTCTCAATGCTTAATAATGAACTTGCACTTCCACCAAAACCTAAGCAACCTGCTTTCTCTACCAGCCGAACTGTTGAGGACACGAATCCATTGCTGAGCAATGAAGAAAATTGTTCACTAAATGGTGTTACAATGTCATTGATTCAAGCCAGGTGGTAAGGTTGTTCAATAAAACTAGATGAATAGATAAATCAATTGAAACTGGTTCAAACTGTATGTTTTGATCCAATTTTTATTTTATTTTAAAAGTACTATGGTTTGGTTTCAAAAAATTAAGAACTATTGATTATAGTTACAAATTAAGGCTAAAAAAGACTTGATTAAATCGAGCCAAACTGTTTACTACTTAATTATTTTTAATAAAATTGGGGTTTCCAAATCTCAGGAGACGTCAATGTAATTTACCCTTAAAACAATGTGTTCTTGTAGTAATTATATACTATGAAGAATTTGTTGTGTTTGCACACATTTTATGAAAGCTAATTGTAATAACCCCGACCTCTGATTAATGCTAAACCATGATTAATTATGCCTAACAGTAATTTACAAGGATTTCGGAATTAAATTGCATATGTATTGCATCATCTTAGTGTTTTTATCTTTTGGCCATAAAACGATATGTTCATGTTTTATGTTTTAAACTGCAAATTGAAGGCCTTATCGGCGGCCGAATCCGAAATTGATTAGTGTTTTGTGTTAATTAGAATTAATGTGATTTTATGGTAAATTTAGTTGACATTTGATTTGGTATGATTAAATAAAGTTAAATTACATTAGTTCAAGTTAATTACCTAATCGCTACTTAGTGGGCCACTTCTAAGAGCCTTGTTTAGAATTGTTTCACACAACATTTTCAACCTATCCCCTTGCCAAAACTGACTAGAGAGAGAGGGAGAGGTAGGAGACTGATTTCATCAAGAGATTTTGCTTGGAATTGGAAGAATTGAAGAATAGTGGCATATTTGAGCTTCTAGGCTTGGAATTCAAGACTTAAGGTAGGAGTTTTCCCTTGTAATTATGAATTTAAGATTAATTCTTGCATGGTTCATGGAAGATTAGAGATTAAAGTCAAGAATTGGTTGAAAATGTTGAATCGAGGCTTAAATCATGCATGCATGTTCATATCATAACATTTTGAAGTGTTTTCATGGAAATTCTTGCATGCAAGACCATATTCTAGTTATAGTCCATGAGTTCATCATGATTTTGAGTTTAATCTTGCATTTGGTTATATTTTTGGAGCATTGAATTCAATTGAACACTTGCATGTCATGTTCTTTAATAATTCTTTGAAGTTTATTTGAAATTGTGTTCAATTGACTCACCCTTGGGCTTTGATTTTACAAATTGATCTTTGAAACATCTTATACTATGAGTTTGCAAGTTTTTTTTCCAGAAAATGGGCCCAAGAGGTCGAGTTTTGAGGTGTTAAATGCTTGGTTTGAGCTTGGGAGGCAAATTTGGAAATTCCAGAATTTGGCTTCCTCGCTCGAGCGAAGGATTCCACGCTCGAGTGACCATCGTTTGTTCAGAGCTCCGCTCGAGCGATGGAATGGTGGCTCGAGTGTAAATTGCAAGCTCTCAGGTTTTTGGTGCATGTAGACGTACGCTCAAGCGACGAGACCTACGCTCGAGCGAAGAGCTGTGTCTCATGCTCGAGCGGGCATCGAACGTAAAATTTCAACAACCAGTACTTTTGCATTTTTACAGACCACTCGAGCGAAGGAGTCTACGCTCGAGCGACCCCTCTGTTTTGACAAGCTCGCTCGAGCGAAGGAAACTACGCTCGAGCGAGACCCCTGTTTTCAACAAGTTTTGAAAAATGTTTTCCAAGGCATCTTTGCATCCTCATTCCATTCTAGGCATTCCTAGGCCATGTTTAAGACTTTATAGTGAGGATTTAAGATTAGAAACACACTAAGAACCAATGACGTAAGTTTTGTGCTTTTAGAATGTGTGTTTCAAGGGTGTATCCGTTATGTGTTATGTAGGTCACGTGCCGCGTGTTGTGTGATCAATCAGCTCCGTCTGTCTGTTTCAAGGCCAACTGTGAGTAATAATTTAGTAAAGTTATGTTCAACTGTATCTATTTTCTGTGTGATAAAACAAGATCTGTTTTCTGAAATGATATGTTCTGTACAATGAATGATTGTTCAATTTCTGATATGTATTCGTGACATCCTTAGCATCATGTGATATCTGTTAGCTGTTACCCGGTATCGGAGGTTCCTTTATGGAACTTATTTCTGTCTGCACTCTGTTACCCGTGCCGGAGGCCTTGTCACGGGGGCTCAGCTTCTATTCTGTTCTGTTACCCGGATCTGAAGGTTCCTTTATGGAACTGGTTATTCGTAACCCCACGTGTATATGTTCTGTTAATGCTAATGGATATATCACGTAAACTTAATCATGACTTATGATTTCTGAATCTGTACGAACTCATTCATTGAAACCATTTACTCTATTTTATTCGCTGGGCTTTCGCTCACAGTTTATATTATGTATGAAGGTGAGCCAGCATATGACCAGGGCCAGAGTTGATGGCCTTCTGTTTTGTTTTGTTAGCCAACTGTTGTGCCTCCCGAAGAGGTTCCGAACAAAGCCTAATGCAATGGCTGTTTTTGTTTACATGCTAGTCTTTGTATATGTTTTGTAAAGTCAGGTCTTGAAAAGTACAATCTGTGTATATCTTGTAAATATTGTGTATCTGGACTGGCCTGTTTATGTATATATAAATAAGTTTTGAAATGTTCTGTCCCATGTACGTTATCACGGCTCATTGGACCTTGTCTATTTCGTATTATTGCTTCCGCAGTCCCTTATTATTTGCTAATCTATTCAGAGGCCTTTGGTAATCTACAGATTACTGGCCGATTACGGTGCTAAACCCATAGGGGCGGGTTTGGGTCGTGACAGAGTGGTATCAGAGCACATGTTCTACCGTACACACAAGTCCGTATGAGCTTAGGATGTCCTAGTAAGAGTTAGGGGCATTCCATCTACATGTGTGAGTGTGTGGTAATTCAACTGAATATGAAAACTGAATGTACATTTGAATCAAATGAACTGAAGGAAACGAATAAGATTATGCCTGTGTTTATTATCATTTGATGCCTGTATAGTAAGATGGACAATGCAAGGGGAAGTAGTGAAAGTGAATCTTCGGAGGCCCGCATAGGCCAAATAGAACAGATGTTAGCAGCGTTGACTGAAGCCTGGACACAACAACAGAGACAACAACCTTTGCCTCCTCCGCCTCCACCGACACAAGCCGAGGCAGATAATACTGACATCATCAATTTGACACAGAAATTTATGAAAATGAAACCGCCAACATTCTGTGGTGGAATTGAACCTTTGAAAGCTGAAACGTGGTTGCTTGAGATGGAAAAGTTGTATGAAGTATTTCCTTGTTCTGAAACTCAGAAAGTCCTCCTAGCCACCTACACTCTGAAAGATGAAGCCTGTAGGTGGTGGTTACTGATCCGAAGCGGTAACGGGAATATGACATGGGCACAGTTTAATGTTATCTTCTACGACAAGTACTTTCCCCAATGTTTCAGGGATCGGAAAGTGTTTGAATTTCAGGAACTCAAATAGGGAAGAATGTCTGTGGCGGAATATGAAGCTAAATTCACCGAATTAGCACGGTTTGCTCCACATATGATGGACACTGATTACAAGAAAGCACGGAAATTTGAAGGTGGATTGGATTTTGAGGTGTTCGATCGGGTGGGCGTGTTAAAATTGCCTACTTATGTGGAAGTCTTGGGCAGATCCTTAATGGCAGAAGCTACCATAGTCACCATGAAACAAGGTAAAGCCCCAGCAACTACAACAACTGAGTGGAGAGGAAAAAGATCCGGGTTTGGTTTTAAAAAAGGCCGGTCTTTTGTTAGTAAGAAGCAAAACACAGGGACTTCGAACAGCTCAAGTCAGAGTAATGGGTTTATTCCGGTCTGTTCTGATTGTGGTAAAAGGCACAGGGGTGTGTGCCACCGAGCGTCCGGTGCTTGTTTCTGGTGTGGCCAGCCAAGTTATGTAGTGAGAGATTGCCCGCTCAGGTCTAAGACTACTAGCCGTCCTGCAACAAGTTCAGCGGGATCCGCTTCTGTGGCCAGGACCAATGCCAAAACCAATACTGGGAAAGAACCTCTGAGACGAGGCCGAGTGTTTGCCCTAGTGCCCGGTGACGTACCGAACACCTATACTATGGTGTCAAGTACACTCTCTATATGTTCTCAAAATACATGTGTACTGATAGATTCTGGTTCTATACATTCCTTTGTATCGCATGCTTTTTCTTGAAAATTGACTAGACCATTAGAACTTATGACCTATGTATTATCTGTGTCTACACCGTCTGGGGATTCTATGATGTGTGCTCATATTTATCCAGCATGTGATGTTATGATTGGCGATATGATGTTGTATGTGGACTTATTACCCTTGGACATTAACCATTTTGATTGTATTTTGGAGATGGACTGGTTGACTAAATACTGTGCTACCATTGACTGTGCAAATAAAACTGTTGTGTTTAGACCACCAGGTATGCCTGAATTTACTTTCATTAGAAATGGGGTAGTTCCTCTCCCATATTTGATTTCGGCTATGAAAGCTGTAAAACTCCTTAGGAAGGGATGTAGGGGTTATCTGTGTTGTATACTAACTGCATCATCTGACAGTACTACTGTAGAAACAATCCCTGTTGCTTGTGACTTTCCTGATGTGTTTCCGACTGACTTACCTGGGAACTTAGTTGATAGGGAGATTGAATTCACTGTTGAAGTGTTTCCGGGGACACAACCTATTTCCAAGACTCCCTATAGAATATCTACCTTTGAATTGAAAGAATTGAAAACCCAACTTCAGGAACTGTTAGATAAGAAAT